AATTTTATATTCGTTTATCATTGCTAAGTACCTTAGCTGGTTTTGGGATGTGAACGATTATAGTTGCTTGCTTACACGGATATTCAACTTATAATTTGCGAAGAATCAACGCCGTACGCATTACCACTTGAAAACAACTACCGATGGAGCAACTTGCACGAACAGCTTATCATACCAAATATCATTCCCTCCTTCTGACGGATCACGGATGAATCCTTAATCCCCTGAAAATTTTAAAGTTTTATATATTTTAAATATCTTTTTATATTTTCTATTAAAAAATGTTTTTGTTCTCTTGATATTTTATAAGTTTATTCATCATAAAATTTCGTGTTCATTCCTATTCCATCAACAAATAATAAAAAATGATTGTAAATGTTAATTTGTAGAGATTTGTTGTGATCCATTATGTTCCTCCAAGTTAGGCAATGATTGAACAAAGGTAATGTCGAAATCATGTTGTTGTTAGCTGAGTATGTTAGGTTTTCAAAAACTGTATCAAAAGATGAAATCACATTGGTTATTTTAGACTAGGTAGTACTGAACACCTATAAATCATGTATTTATTTAACACCGGATTCAAAATTAAGTTCAAGAATCAATTACACAAGAAAAGATTAAAAATTCCACAAAACCTAAAATATTTATATCTAGTTAAAAAAACATATCGGTTCATTTTTTAATAAATGAAATATTTTACCATAAATATAATTTTTTTACACGAATCTTTCTTTTGTACCAAATTTTAACTTTTTTATTTTTGTTTTTTGAAAATTATATTCACTTTCTCATATTTTCCGCGCTCGAAGAGGTCTTACAATCATACTCAGGAAATTTATTGATGAGTCATAGAATTTAACACCACCCCGGAGATGTTACAAATGACGAAGACTTATTATCATAGCTGAGATTTTGAGCCAAACAATCTTTGTCTAAAATCTGTGTTTTAATGGATACGAAACTTGTGTCTTCCACCTGTTGATTTGATGTTTGCTTTTAGTGGAGACTTTATTATTACTATACAAAAGGTTTTCAAAGTGTCAAAACCCCACTTTCCTAATATGAAATAAATCTCTAATTTATGCATAAAAAGATTGTACTTAATAGATTTAAGGATAAAGTATATAAATGGTCCCTAATTATAGGATTCTATTTTATGAATCACTCGAATATTAAAAGTTATAAATGATATTCCAAATTATATGACATTGCTTTGTTGAGTCACTCGATTATTAAAAGTTATAAAATGATCACTCGATTATTCATATATTCTAAACTCCTTTTCTATTAATATCTGACGGTAGTCTGAACTAGACGTTAACATGTTGACTAGGATATGTTAAAATATGATCTCATAATCTCAAACGACTATCATAGCTCAGTCAATATACTAACATACAACTCAGACAACCATAAAATTTTTAACAAAAAAATGATGAGTTTAGAACATATGAATAGTCGGGTAACCATTTTGTAACTTTTAATACTCGGAGGACTCAACAAAGTAACACTCAATAGTCTGAGGATCATTTTATAACTTTTAATAACCAAATAGCACCCTATAATCGGGGATCATTTGTGTATTTTACTCTAGATTTAATTATGGTTGAAAATTTAAAATTTAAAATACATTAATACGAATATCAAATAGAATATAATAACTAAGGTATTTTCACTGTTGCCTATTAAAAGTATATTTTGAACCAACAATAAGTTGATCTAGTAGGATGAGATATTAGACTTTTTAAGTAAAATTTGGGGTTCAAGCATACTGAATTGAAAGGATCGTCTTTATCTATGTGGTACCCAATTCAAATCAATTAATTAATAAATCAAAAACTGGTATTTATAAAAAAATTAAAAGTATATTTTGAGCCATAAGCAATACTAAACAGATGACTTTTAGAGGGGAAAAAAAGTATTTGGAAAACGTTTTTCAACCCAAACGTTAAATTTCTCTCTTTTACGTTTGAAAAAAACACTTTTAGAGTTAAAATTATAGTTTTAACCTTCATTTGTTACCCCATGTTACATTTATCTTATAAATTATAATTATATAATTAATAAATTATGTATAGGTCCAAAACTTTAATATCATATTATGTCTATTTCTTAGATAGAAATTATTTTAAAATTTATATATTTTTACAAAACGCATAAAATTATTATATTTTTATGCTAATTTAGGTTGATATATTTTATATATTATAATATTCAAAATTTAAATATTATTTAAATATACATTTTTAAACTTACAACATCATATCTAAAATAATCCTTTATCTTTTCAAAAGCACATTTGCATATGAATATTAAACATTTGAATATTGAATCAAACTTTTCAAAAATACTTTTTAAATTCACTTTTACATCACAAACCTTAAATCCATAATTAACATATATTAGTATAAGGACTAATAAAAATTTGACCTAACTAAAAATACGAGATTAGACATTATTAGACATGAATTCAACTTGTTATTAGTTTTAATCTTTTACTTTTAATTTTACCACTTTTGTGGGATTAAGATTAAAGCTAGTTTGTCTGTCGGTCAATAATTGGCCAATATATCATTATCCATTGTGGATGAGGTTGAAAATAAAGTACATACGATAAATATAGGTTAAATTGCACAAATAGTTCTCCGACTAATTGATACTATTTTGTTGAGTTTCTCAACTATTAAAAATTACAAAATGATCATCTAATTCTAAGGAACTGCTTTGTTGAGTCCGTCAACTATTAAATGTTATATAATGGTCACTTGACTAATAATTATGTTTCAATCTCATTATTTTTCGTTAAAAATTAATTGTCGTCTAAGCTAGACTTTAACATTTTGACTGAGATATGATAGTCGTTTGAGATTATGATATTAAATTTTATCATATCTCAATCAATAAGTTAACGTCCAACTCATATTGTCGAACTTGGGACCTCAAGGAATAACATCAATTTATTTACCACTGAGGTCACTGGAGTTCGTGCCCCATACATATAATAGAATATTTAAAATAGAAGTTAATATTAAGAAATTAAATGAAAATATGAGTTAATATTTTTAAAAAGGACAACAATATACTATATATAAAAAAATGAAAACAATGGTTGTTTACTATTTTAAAAATAATAATAATTTAGTATTGAGCAAAACAAATAATTAAATACTGAATGATTTTGTTCATTTTTAAAAATAACTTGATATAATGTTATTAAAACATTATTATTAAATGTTACAACTTTAATTATAAAATAATTGGTCACCCCTACTTGTGCAAAATGCAACTTTATTCGTCAAATACGAGCAATGATGGTATCACACTTAGTTGACTTTCAACTAAAGTCCAAAGCCATCGACTTTGCTTACCATCACAACAAGGATACATCATTATTCATCATCATATTGTTATTGTTATTGTTATTATTAATATTTCGTTAACATGGTAACAATTTATATTTAGAGTAAAGTTAATAAATAATTCTTTGACTGTATTAAATTATTTTGTTGAGTCCCTCGACTATTAAAAGTTATAAAATAATTTATCAATTATAAGATGATGTTTTGTTGAGTCTCTGACTATTAAAAATTACAAAATGACCACCTCGATTATTCATTATGTTTCAAACTCTTTTTTTTTCAGTTAAAAAATTGACAACAGTCTGAGATGGACGTTAACATGTTGACTAAGATATGATAAAATTCGATCTCATAATCTCAAACAACGATCATATATCAGTTAGCATGTTAACGTCCAACTCGAACGACCACTAATCTTTTAATGGAAAAGGATTAGTTTGGAACATAATGAATAGTCAGGGTGACAAAATAACACCCTATAGTCAGAAGACGATTTTGTAACTTTTAATAGTCAGGGAACTCGACAAAATAATATCCTATAGTCAGTGGATCATTTGTATACTTTACCCTTCTATTTATTATACTATTACGCGTAATACCAAGCTACCTAAAATAAATATATTTGTACATTTTGCATCAACCAAGCGATCTTAGTGGTTAAAGAATTTGTTGTTATCCCGTAATGTCTCGGGTTCAATCACTGCATATACAGGGGTATGAGCGACAATTGTCAAATGATTGAGAATCTTTTAACATATATTATCTTGTATTCACCCTATATTTATCAACAATTTTTTTTATCATGGTTTCTTATTTCTCTCCTATCACATGGTAGTTAAAATCACACTATATCAATTAAATTAAAGATGAGTATTAAATTCGATATGAAAGATCTTAATTCGATTTTATAAGGTCATTCCTTTTTAAAATTTGAGTTTGAATTAGATTTTTAAAGGACAAGTCGGACCGAGTTCAATTTTAAGGTGAAAATATTTGACTGAAAATAACAATTTATTTGACATTATATTTTTAGGGATAATTGTTATAATGTCCCTCTATCTATATATATTTTTCAATTAGGTTCCTACTTAATAAAAATGAGAATATATTTATATTGGGTTGGACCAGATACAAATTTTTACTCTAAAATCATATCAGATTTCAGGTCGAGTTGAGACTCTAAGTCCAACTTAAGTGAAGAATAAAGAGGTATAATATTCGGGTTAAACTCGGATGGAAGAAAAACTCAATCTAACTCAACCTATATTCATTCTTAAATCAGATAATGATAACCTCTAAAGACTTTCCCTTGTCATGTTTGAGTGTACAAAAACATATATCTATCTGATTGTGTGAGGAGCTTAAAATTAACTTACGTGCCAGGTTTCCTTCTAAAATTATACTGAAAATGTATAGTCCGCAAATAAGACCTCAAACTCCATCATTATTTCAATAATATTAAGTTGTTTAACACTTGAATCAATTCCATCAGTGATTATCCTCTCATATTAATTATAATTTATATGAAAACTATCAAAATGATTATCTGTATTAAATAATTAAATACGATTTATCAATGTTAAGGAGAAGGACAATGACCATCTTTTCGATTATAATTATATTATAGTACAGAAGAGTAAGAGTGGTTAGGTTAGGGTGCTAAACATCCCAGTATTCCATGTCATGTTACATGATTAAGGGATAAAACCACATAATGTATACTGATAATTACACAATATTTTTTATGAATAGAGTTAGAATCTTGTCAAACGTCATTTGTATATTTATAAATTTTAAGAAACAATTTGTTATTAACATAACGACGAATAAAAATTTATTCCTTAACTTAAATTCAAGGTTTAAATTATAAAATTGATAATGCAATATATGAGTTTATATAAAATAAACAAATAGAATACTTATAATAGTTTCGATGGTATAAACAAATAGTAGGGTTGAGATATAATTTTTTAAAATTTCAAGTGATTACAATATAATATATGTTAAGAAATTCTTTGTTTTAGTCATTGACAATGTACATATATTCTACAGACATAACTACATTATAAACATAACTATTCGAACCTGAAATCTCTAAAGAGTAATATTTTCTTTAACTATTGAAATCGTATGATAGACCGTATGATAGGTTCAATAAGCTTTAAGATATTAGAGAGGGATTAGTTGAAAATAGACACATTAATGGCTCAAGTTTTAAGGTTGATTGGCTAATGGCTACGTAATCTTAAAGTTCTGCTTTATACATTAAAGTGTATAATTCTCCTGTCCCTTCTTAGGCGCTGCATATGATCCATCATTTACACCGTGACACCAGTTTTAGTGTTTTACTAGCAAATTAACGGAAATTTGTATCTTTAATATTTTATTTATTTCTTTAAGTTTTGTATTGTAAATTTATGTCTTCGTTTATTTCTCAAAATTAGTTTTATTAAATGATCATTATAAGATATTAAAGTATTAAAATATTAACTCTTTAGATGTTTCTTTATCAATATTAAGTAGATTTAGTAGAAAATCAACACGAGGAAAAGAAATTTGAGATGTAAATATTTTAACACCAATATTACTACGAATGAAAATCAATAATGAATGTCGATTGATTGATAACGATGACGAAAGAAATGAATTTTTTTTTTTGCAGAAAATGAAAAAAAAATACCTCCTTACGTCATTAATGGTTTAATGATACAATAAGTTAGTTGAATTCAAATTATATATATATATATATATATATATATATATATGATATGATATGATATTGTTACACAATGTAAAACTATTTTAGTTTTATCAGATTTAAGATCGTTGGATGAGTAAAAATATATGACTGAGATTAATATTAGAAAATGAAAAGATATTCATTAAAAAAACAAGGAGTCAATCTTATCCATCTATTTTCGTTCATCAAATGATTTTAAATATGTGTAAAATTAAAGAGTTTTACATTGTATAAGATCTTAAACCTATATATTTTTATACGTGTTTTACACAAATTTAAGACCGTTGAATGAGTGAAATTAGATGGTTGAGATTGACTTTTTTTCAGTGAAGATATTTTTTCCTACTATTAATCTCAGTCATATATTTTCTCTCATCTCACAGTCCTAAATTAGAGTAAAACAAAAATGGTTTTACATTATCTAACAGGATTATATCCTTTCTCCCTATCCCTCTACCTTTCTCTATCGGTGAAATTTTCTAAATCTATCCTCGAAGGAATCAGACATGATAATATTTCATCATCCAACTCAAGCAAAAGTTAATCAAATAAAATGGATACAAAGGAATACCTATAAAGTAAATCAATATGTTATCCCCATATATACGAATGAATCAACAATTGAAGCATATGAGGTTGTGTTACTCAGGGATACACGACAGAAGGAATTGCTTTATTTATAAAATTCACCTTCAACAAACGTATATTTCTTTTTTGTTTTCAATAATATTTTTTTTCTATTCTGAATAAAGTGTCTTTTTACTAAGATTGAGAGCGGTAAAGTAAATAAAGTAATATATATATATATATATATATAATAATCAAATTGCACGATCTTTGTAATAAGTAAATACTTCTTTTTCTTCTGAAGTTGTCGAAATTATTCGTAATATATATATATATATATGATAAATTCTAAATCGAATCTTAATTCTACCTGGAGCGGAGAGTAATCGAAATTCTAGGTAAAGGAAGGAGAGTGCTTCTAGTGGCTCTAAAACTCACGACCTAAGATAATATGAAATAATAAAGATGAACAACTTGCCCAATCGTTAAATGTGCTTGTTCATGTATTTAACCGTTTTAGATTTTAATGTGATATTTATTTATAATTTTTCTTAACTTTTAGCAACTCATATTGTGCTCAAATCTATATTAAAGAATAATAATAATTTTTTTAACTACTAAGACTCCTTAACAAATTCAAATATAAAATATTTTTGAATGGAAGACATTTAGGGATGAATAATGGTCGAGTTTTTGGTCAATCCGATCTGAAAAGTATACACCCTTCACCTGACTAGATCCGACCCGAAAAATATACACCCTTCATTTAACCTATTTTTTGAGATAAAATTCGAACTTGATCCGATCTAATCCGAAATAATATATTTATTAAAATTATTATTTTATCAAATAAAAATAAAGATTTAATTAAAATAAATAATATATAAAGATATTATTATAATTATCCGGTAAAATTATATTCTTTTTGTGTCACATCTTTTTTATTTTAAACCCGAATATGACTCTATATGAAATAACCTTAAAGCATTGGCAAAAGTAAAAAAGTGAAAACAAAAGTTACATCTAGGTGCAGCAGCACTTTTACCGCATTCCATTGGCTTTTCGTATGAATATGGCTGTCAGGCAGGTCCCCTGGCCAGTCGCCAGGAATTGAATTCATTAAAATAAAATACACTTTTTTAAAAAGCAACGAAATACACATGGCTTTGACCACCGTCATATCACCACATCAATCACCACAGTAGGTTTTCCAAAAACCAACCATCAATCTGATACAGTGGACCCAATGGAAATGACCTGACAAGACCACCTTCTTTTTATCTAGTCCGTCAATGGTTTCTTATTCACCGTCCGTAACAATAATTTCACCCAAAGCAGATACCGATAAGAAGGTTAAATTACGGTTTTGATCCCTTTGAAATTTAATCATTATACTTATTTTAGAGGTTAAAATATTGAATTGGATATTTTAAAATACTTTTTTTGGCTCTTCGATTGTAATATGTTGGATGAGGTGTTTTAGAAAAAAAAAAACAAATCACATAAATATTTTAGGGTAAAGTATGCTAGAAGTCGCCAAATTATATAAAATTGATATTTTTAATCAATTACCTTTCAAATGTTATAAAATGATTATTATATTTCACAAACGATTATAAAATAATTATTAAAATTAATCAAATTATTATGAAATTTCTTAAACTATTACAAAATAATCCTTAAATTTATTATTATTTTAACATTACAAAGATAATTTTTAATTGTTTAGGAAAACTAATGATTATTTATAAAATTATAAAAAATATTATCCAAAAAGATTAATTTTACATAGTTCAGTGGCATCTAGTGTATTTTATCTAATATTTAATCCAAATAGTTAATTGGATTAACAAATTGGACTAACTAATGATATTATCAAAGCATAGGGACTTAATACGGAATTAAACTATAATAGAGAGACCAAAATTAAAGTTTGACCCAGAAAGAGTTTAATAGCACCAGAGAGACAAAGCAAATCCAGCATTCATTTCCCAGTCCCACCGTCTTCCATGATTCCACTGATACTTTCCACCCTCTCAATATTGAAATGAAATTTCTCTTACAAACCAGAAGGGGGTCGCTTAATTTGAATTAATTGGTGTTTTATGAGTATTTAAAAATCGTTTATTGTTTGCTAAAAAAATGGTTTCGTTGGAAGATTCTCACTCGAATTCGAGCCGGTTTCCTCTGGGTCGAAACTTGTACACGCCCGGTTCACCTTCCACCACCAGAATCCACCGACACACCGGCCGTTCCATGCGTACGATTCGCTCCAATTTCTACCAAAGCGCTGACAACAGCTGCTCTTTCACCAGTGCGGTTCCCGAACGGTCTGGTTTTGTCTCCGAGAATCTCACTGAATCCGTTATCGACATGCGGCTCGGCGAACTTGTTGCCAAAGCTAAATCGGTTAAGTCCGAGTCAGAAAACGAGGAGTTTTTGGACATTTCTCAGGCCTTCAGTGATTTCTCCGCTTGTAGCAGCGATATCTCCGGTGAGTTGCAGCGACTTGCGAGCTTGCCGTCGCCGGAAAACATCTTGAAAGAGAGCAATGGTGGAACGGAAGCCAAGCCGGAACCGGAACCGTGTCACGGGTTTCTGCAGAGAGAGAAATTCTCGACGGAAATCATCGAGAGTATCTCGCCGGAGGATCTTCAACCGACGGTCAAAATCTGCATCGACAGCTTACAATCACCGTCCGTTGCGGTGAAGCGGTCGGCTGCTGCTAAGCTAAGGTTACTAGCGAAGAACCGCGTGGATAACCGTGCGTTAATTGGAGAGTCCGGCGCGATCCCTGCTCTGATTCCGCTCTTACGGAACAGCGATCCTTGGACTCAAGAGTACGCCGTGACTGCTTTGCTGAATCTGTCTCTTTTCGAAGCGAACAAAACCCTAATCATAAATGCTGGAGCTATAAAATCATTAGTGTATGTTCTCAAGACAGGCACCGAAACCTCCAAGCAAAACGCGGCGTGTGCGCTTCTGAGCTTAGCTTTGGTTGATGAAAACAAGGCTTCGATCGGAGCATGCGGTGCGATCCCGCCGCTGGTATCTCTTCTGATGACCGGATCCAACAGAGGCAAGAAAGATGCACTGACAACTCTTTATAAGCTCTGTTCAGCCAGGCAGAACAAAGAGAGGGCTGTGAGTGCAGGTGCAGTTAGGCCTTTGGTGGGGATGGTGAGTGAGCAAGGGACTGGCATGTCGGAGAAGGCAATGGTTGTTCTTAGTAGCTTGGCGGGAATCAAGGAAGGAAGGGAAGCTATTGTGGAGGAAGCTGGGATTGCAACACTTGTGGAGGCGATCGAAGATGGGTCCGTCAAGGGGAAGGAGTTCGCGGTGTTGACACTGTTGCAGTTGTGTGCCGATAACGTTAGGAATTGTGGTTTGCTTGTTAGGGAAGGTGGGATACCCCCTCTTGTGGCGCTTTCTCAGACCGGGAGTGTCAGGGCTAAGCATAAGGTAATTGCAATTGAATGCTTGATAAATTACTAGATAGTTGAACTTTGTTTCTAATGCTTGTCCAGTTTATAGTTTATTGAATTGCTTGATTGGTTAAGTAGCCTAACTTGGATGATCAGAACTGTGCAGCTCTGAGAGTAGATGAGTATTGTCGTGCATCCAAATATTAGATAACGCTTGCTTCTCTTCGAGAACTGACATGTTCGTTACGTCTTAATTTTGCAGGCGGAAACACTTCTTGGGTATCTAAGAGAACCAAGACAAGATGCTTCATCATCTAGTCCTTAGAGAAGGGAAGTTTAATTACTTGTAGAGGTAATCATACCTTGGTAAAAAAATTTCTTTTTGTATATAGGGAGTGTTTTAATGGTTTGTACAGTGTGGTTGAGAAATGATTGTGTCAGTAAAAAAAAGGAAGAAAACAAATTAGGGGAGGCTCAAGAGACTGACATGTGGATGTATGATTTTGAGTAGGTTTTGGGGGTTGTTTCCCCTCTTGTTTACATGTTCTGAAGGGTGGAATATTTGCTTGGCATTCGGATTAATTAGATTTGGGTTATTCTCCTTGTGTTTTGTTTAGGCGACCCAAATTCTATTTGCATAGTTTGTATTGACCGAATACTAATTGTCGGTTTTCTACATAATGAAAATGGACAGTCTTGTTGATGATATGCTCTAAAATCTTGTAGCTCAAACTTTATGCGATGGAAACAACCGTTAGGTTTCACGTGAAAGTTACCACATATCGTCCACCATTTTTTTGTACATTTTCATGATAATTTCTGTGCTGTGATAATTATGCTCTTGCTGGATATTCGAGCAAGCAATGTTATCGGAATCTGGTTTTTCTCTATGTTTCCCTCAAGTTTTCCGAGATGGCAATGTGGGAATTATGATATATGCATTATTGCTGGAAGCATTGAATGTAGAGCTTAAGGTGGATGGATATGGTGGCCATGGGTAGGGCCCGCGATGTGCACCTATTTGGTGTGAAGTAGTTAATATGCCCACCAACAGGTTCAAACCCCACCACATATTTGTATGTGTAGATTATCATAACTTTGCCTCTCTTTTCTTCTTTCTTCTGTTCTTATTACTCATGCATTAGCTGGCAGAGAAGAGGCATGGTTTGTCCTACAATGGCGGTTAAGGATTGATTCCCCCATGATGATTGTTCTCTTGTGCGTTGCCGTCTCAAATTTCCAATGATAAGCCAAAATTAAACTAGTAATGGCACGAAAGTATCTATGCGGTTGTCCATAATTTGCAAAGAAATGAAAGGAAAAGTTGGAAGAAATAACCCAGAAGAAGGGGAAGGATTCTCCTTGACCTATTTTGGATTCATTGAGCTCATGGAAACCAACTCTCGATTCGAATGGAGTAGAATATATCCTATGATCATGTTGATTAAACAGGCAAAGAGGAGACTTGAGTTTTAGTTTTGACGATTTTCTGCCTCTTTTAGAAAATGTGAACCGACGGAGACCGAGACGATCTCGTCATTGGTCGGAGATAAGTGACAACAATGATGGGTTTGAGGAGGCAAAAGAACTAAAGTAGGACACCCTTTAGTTTTATGAAACAAGGCAAATTTATGGGAATAATGCCTAATTTAAATAAAATTATAAGAAGAGCGTCCAGATAAAGGAGTGATTGCGGTCAGTTGATCAATTAAACTGCAGTAACATGATATCTATGGGTAGCTTCGAAATAAAACCCCACCAAACTGATAGATGATATGCCAGTGCTTAACTACAGTCCATTTGATTTCTCGAATACAAAAAAAAAAAAGAGAAAAAGATAACCAAGCTGTGGATTAATTGTTATGTTCTCCATTTCCTATGAGAATTAGAAATATTACTTTTAATTCGTGTCTCACAATAATACATAACAAATTGGGTCAAGTAGTGAACTATCCTATTAGAACAGCTTCCAGATTTGTACTTTTTTTTTGCTTGCAAAAATACTTTGAAAAATAGCTGCCAGAAATTTGAATATGCTATGACAACCATCTTCCCAATTGAACATGGTGTATAATTTTGTGGAAGGACAATTTCAATTTATGTACTTACGGTGTGGCCATTATGCTGTGGCTCAAATTGTGACAACTATGAGTAAACAGAACTTGAATCAATTTTTTTTCATAAACTTTTCTGGAAAGAATTTTAAATTCGAATCAACTTATAAAATAGAACTCGAACAACTCAATTTTTTAGTAATTAGTGTATTATTTTTCAAGTTTGAGTCAAATCCTTCACCTTTGTAAGATATATGTATATCCTATATGAAAAAGTTATGAAGAAATATATATGTATTGTATATGACTGTAGAAAATCTTTTAAATTGAAAATAAATAAGACTACTATATTAAAAGTATTTAATGATTCAACTCGATTTGAAAATTTTCAATTTGAATTATAAAATAAGACTTATTAACTCACATGATTAAATTTTTTTTAACTCGACTCGACCTTATCAACACTTACCCTTATGAACAACAATACAAATGAGCAGCCGATGAAGCTCAGGCGGTCAGCCCCCCCCCCCCCCCCCCTCAAACTATAGGATCGTAAAATTCGTTCTTTCATTTGCAAAGCTGATAAAGAATTATAATTTAGATGCAAGTTGATTAAATCTTAAATCGTAATTAGACATAAATTTTCTTGTACTTTTTTTTAACATTGTGAATTTTCTCTTATTTTACTCATGATTCTTTATGAAAGATTTTTTTTACATTAAGTTTCAGTGTTTTTTATTTTTTTATTATTATTCTATATTTGTTATTCTATATTTTTTTGATAAATTTGGAATGAATATAAATAGTATTTGTTCAAAGATTCAACAATTTGATAATGAACGTTTACACTCTTACTTACATATGAACACAACTCAATAGATAACAACAAATCACTTAATCACTAAGATTGTTTGATTCGTGTTTTATTATTATCTTATATTATTTGGGGTTATTTTCATTAGAGAAGACCCAGTAGAACCGAGATTTGATGAAATGGTGTTATCCGGGGTAATATGTTATCAAACTGTCGGCAGCCTATGCAGCAAGTGTATTACCAAGTTTTGATGTTTGTCCACCCTTCCTTTTCATTGTGACTAAACAAAATTCTGACTATCTATTTATTTACCCCGATGCTGTCACCCAATCAAACAATGTCAATGTTTTCTTGTCGGCAGTCGGCACGTACTTAAAACTTGCATTTAACCGCATGGAAGGCCCTTTCACCACAGGGCTCAGCCTGCTTCAGCAGCTAAAGTTCGTATGGGCGACGATGGGTCCTGCTCCTGCAACACAGCAGGCAGCACACCTAACTGCAAATAAGAAATCGATTGAATTTAGTGAAAAAAAAGAGAATATTGTTTTATCTAAAAATCTTGTCGAACAATTGTATTTAAAGATTATGTGTACGTTAACCGCAAACCCCCCCCCCCCAAACAAGAAAAAAAAAGCTTTGTAGATAAGGCACAATTTTGGCTGCCCTACCATTTAAGAACATTGTCAGTCAGCAAATACAAGGGTGGTGAAAGTTTCAAGGCAAAACCCAACATATATTCCATTTTCAATCACTTGGTTTAGTACTTGGTGAAACATTTTATTCACTTTTCTTATATATGTAAATTATTTTACTCATACAAAAAATCAAGGGACCAAAGTGCACTTTGTGCTATAATACAAAGACCTGATCACTACTTTTACCAATAAATAGATGTTTAGTGAGGTCCATAGCTTGCCCAAAAGAAGAGCCCGGTAAATTCACTGGGATGCTAAACCAGAGTAAATGCAAATCTGGGATTGTCTCTGCGCTTTGCTCCCTCACCAGATAAATCCTTTGAATTTATTTCTTTAAGCCATGACATCATCATTTAATCAGATCCATTATTAACCCTTTTATTTGATCGTAATTCCTGAGAGAAACAAATGAAAAAGAGGTGCAAGGAGCCGTCTGAATTTGTTTTTCTTATATAGCTGGTGAGTTCAATGACACACGATCTCTTTCTCTCCAGATTTTTAAACCCTTTGTTCTGTATTTATTGTTTGATGAGTTATTGAATTTTATTTGCGAATCTGTTTCTGGATCATTTCTCAATCACATTTTTGTTGTTGTTAACAATTTATTTTGTACGTTCTTTTAAGATTTTGAAGATATCAAGATCGATTTTTTTGGCTCTACGTTGTTTAATCATTTGGGTATTCAAGACTTGGTTGTAATGGTTTCAATGCTCTAGCTGTTCGATATGTGAACTTGGTTTCTAGTATTTTGAGTCAATTGCAAAATATAAAATTTAAATGGCAGTTTGCTTGGTGATTTAAGTTTCTAATGGCGTCTCTTTTATGGTAAACTTGAGCTTAGATTTGCCATGATTTGATCTCACTTTATGATCAAGATCATATTTGTTGAAATTGTTGAAGTGTCAATGTACTTGATATTAAATCTTCAGTTGACACCGGTCTCAGATTTGATCTTTCGACGAACTAGTCCAAAAAAACGAAATCGATTTACTTAGGTCTACAATTTATTTCCAGGTCAGAGTTCACTAGTTCTTGCAATCAGAGTTTCAGTGTTTGAGTGATTTTTTATGAGCTGTTTACATAGCAGTAAAAGTTTTTCAATCTTTAATTTTAACCCTTTAAAAGACTCTTCTATAAAAAAAATATAATATATGTATATGTAACCCTTTAAAGACTCTTCATACACAAGGATCGTGGATCGTCTTTTTATACTAGTCATCGGTATCGGTCGCAGGATTTGTTAATGGTTTTATTGTTTCTCTCTATTTTGAGTTGTTACTGCAGGAAACTTATCACTCGGGTATATTCACCTATTTTGCAGGATGGTGAGAGTGGAGTAGAATTTATTCATTTCTATTCAATTAACCCAATATATGCTTAACAAGAAAGGTATTTTCTCAGCTCTTTATTCCTACTTTAGCTTCCTTTTCCAGCTTACCTTTGTTCTTTTCTTGCCCAAACGGCTAAACCCGTTTCTTTTCTTGAACAGGATATATAAAGTTGGTGGTTCTTAGGTGATAACTTGAGTCCCCTGGAGAAGAAACTGAATGCCGAGAGCTTTTCGTTGTTGATACGATTGTATAGACTACAGAGTGACACTCCTTGGTGAAGATTGGAAAATGGCTTTTGTTACGGAGGACGAGAAAACTGAGGATTACCTTTTCAAGATTGTACTAGTTGGTGATTCAGCTGTTGGGAAATCGAATTTACTTGCAAGATTTGCTAGGAATGAATTCTACCCTAATTCAAAGTCAACCATAGGAGTAGAGTTTCAGACCCAGAAGATGGATATAAATGGGAAGGAAGTTAAGGCACAGGTCTGGGATACTGCTGGTCAAGAGCGCTTCAGGGCCGTTACATCTGCATATTACCGAGGTGCGGTTGGAGCTCTTCTTGTGTATGACATTAGCAGACGACAGACTTTCGATAGCATCGGCAGATGGCTAAATGAACTTCAAAGTAAGAACCTTGCAGAACTCATGCTTTTGTTGATTATAAATAAGATGTGTCAAAATGGGTTAATTTATCTTTCTTTGCAAGTGACTGTTGGCCATGTTGTTTCAAAATTTTGACAATATTATAGATATGTTGTTCTTGGCCGATGATGGCTAAGGATTGATTTGTGTGCCTTGTCATTTTGAACAGCTCACTCCGACATGAATGTAGTCACCATTTTAGTAGGCAACAAGTCGGACCTCAAGGAAGGCCGGGAAGTATCCACATCGGAAGGAAAGGCCTTGGCAGAGGCGCAGGGTTTATTTTTCATGGAGACTTCTGCACTCGATTCCTCCAATGTAGCGGCTGCATTTCAGACCATCGTTGAAGAGATCTACAGCATATTGAGCCGGAAAGTCATGATGTCTAACGAGAGCAAGAAGCAAGATGCGCCGTTGGATGGGAAGACTGTTGTTTTACGGGGGGAAGAGAACCAACAACCCGAAACAGAGGCCAAACAGGGTGGGTGCTGTTAAATCCTTTGCCCCATATTTTTTACGACTTCCGTCATCATCAAGTTTCCACTGAAGTTGCTGATATTTCTTCTTCTCCATACCTTCATTTATTGGTGCCGTTAAAATGTTTGTTTTAGTAACATTTGTTTTACTTGTTCATGATTTGCTTTATCATACGGTGGCTGCGACTTCTATGGATTATAGAATTAACAAAATGTAAATGAACTCAAGGGGGGATTGAAAGGAGAAGAACAGAAAAAAGAAATGAAATTCAAATGCTATAATTTCCTGCAGGACTTTCACTTTCTGCCTTTATGTTACATAATAAACCATATTTTTGCAGAATATCTTCTTGTTTTGTGCATATCCTTTATTTTTGAAAGCATGTAACACGATCCGGGTTCTAAAAACTCGCCTCCTCCGTAGTAGGACGCCTCAGGAAATATCGTAAACTATTAGCAAGAACCTGCCGAATTTCATGCGATGAAAACACTCATTAGAAGCGATTAGGACGTATATCCTACCGTACCTAAATGATTAATACTAATTTAATGTGCAATGTGTTAGTTGCAGTTTACCTGCTGCAGGGGCCTGCTGATAGCTTTACTCTTGTAGCTGACGTGAAACTTCATCTTTGCCAACAACCCCTATGTCTCGAAGGTAGAATTTTGAGAGAGAGCTAATATCGTCAAGCTAATACAAGATGATGACATACGGAAGAGAAAAAGATAATCGATCATCTCACCTCAGTGTCGAACTCCCCGGACTCAACCGTGATGTTGATGTCGGTGATGATTTTTACAAGATCCACCAGTAAACCCGGGCGATCGGCAGTCTCCATGTATAGCAAGCTGAATCAAATTTATTTACAAAATTAAATTGCATGGAATTGAAACAATTCTGCAAGCCAGAACGTATCGTCCCTTTCAGCAGAATCAAACAAGGGATGCGATTGCATTGACCACAACATTCGTTACCTACGACTGGGACCATCATCGTCGACTCTTATGTGCGTTGCAATGTCTACATCAACCTGAGGAATCCCAGCAAAGCAAAACTTAAACCGAGGGCCAAGATTATTGTGTAATATCATTCTCAGCCAATTACATTATGGACAATTCGTAATGTTTACGATCAGTTGCACCGGTCTTGGTCGCAAGCACGAAAATTATCCATTTGAATTACAACAAAAGTTAACGTAATAGTCTTCTTTGGGCAGCTGTAAAGCTCATTTCACCCAACATTCAACATAGGAAAATGCCTGAACTTTGCAAGAGGAATATACCTTTTCTTTTGGTGGCTCAACACCGAAAGTCGCACCCATTGCTAACTGGGAACTTGATTCCTGGACCACAAAGTAACATGTCAAACGGGGGAGATTTCTCATTAGGCTTTAGGAAAAAGGAAGAGGTGATTACAGGATGATACTCGAGTAAGTTGTTTATAATCGTCAAACGTATTGCCTCGAGCAGTTCCGGGTCTTCGACTTTTCTTCCAGTAGTACTACAGAAAAGTACCAACACCATATTAGTAATGTTGCATTGAAAATATATTATAACAACCGATATATAGCACTAGGTGATGCATAACCTCTTGCACATCATTCCATTCTCACATTCGTTTTATTTACGAAATGAAGACGAGTTAAAAGGCATACAACTTACGCCTTAGTGATGGCGAACTTGTTATGCTTCCCGGATGAATCCAGGTAGACATTTGCTTTAGCAACATTCAACCCAAGATTTCTAAGGGCATTCATCTGCAACTCATTCACTAAAAGTTAGAACATGCACATCAAATTCTTGGTGAAAATCCAAAACAGCCATATGAAAAACACATTTAAGTTATTTATACCGTATCCATAAGAGCTCCAAGCCGATCGCCAAAGGTTATTTCCACTACGGTGGCGTCCGGATCCGAGTCTTGGTCGATTATAACTTTGGGGGTTGGAACTGTCTCAGCGTCATCATTCTTCAAACAAACAACCATGGAGCATTAGCCAGCTAAAACATAGTTAAATTCAACCAAATATATCATTTTTTTCCTCCATACCTCCACAGCTGTGACTGATGGTGTTGCTCTTGGAATGATTCCCATCATGGAAGATGACAACCCAACACTGTGGTGCATTAAAAGTGAAGATCTATCAAATTGAAGATACGACAAAACCATTAAATTGCAGCTTTTTTTTTTCTCTCCATAAAACTGATTGATTCCCGTTGGATTTACAAATGCATCTTAAAGGGTTTCCCAAAACAACAATTTCAACACCCAGACAAGGAAATATCCGGATACTAAAAACAAAAACAAAGAAAAAAACACGACCAAAATTAAGCAATGAATTAGATTGAAGAAAGGCACCTTCTTTTCTCAAGAATGTTGGGTGGTGAGCAGACAGAGGAAGCAGGCCAAAAGTGGTTTCTGAGTTCAAAGATAGGAAATTTACACTTGTTTTTAGTGTTGGTTGTAAAGAATACACCATAATTAGCAGCAGAAGCCATAGCCACAGCCATTATAACAGAAGAGATGAGGAGATGAGAAAGAAGCAACAAAACTGAAGAAAAATAAATGTTAAAGGAGAAGAAGGTTCAAGGCTCTCATTTTATCCGCCATGAGAAGGTGAATGTGATTGTGATAGAGAAAGAGAACTCCCCATAGTTATAAATTTTGCTCCTTTTTATCTCTTTTATCTTTTTCTTCCTTCTACTTTATTGAATTGGTTACAGATCCTACTCATTCCTGTCTGCATATCAACTCTAACGTTGAAAGTTAAAACGAAGGGTTAATTCCATCACAAGTTCATTGTATTATGAGTAAATTTATAATTGGTTCACTATAATTTAAAGAAATCACAATCAAGTCATTCAATTAAACAATTGAATAAATTTTTATTGTTAATATATTTGTGCTCACCTTTACAAATATTTATGGATTTGTCACTTTCAATATTATTCTTCGTCAAAAGTTTTTTACTGTGATTACAATATAATTTTTATTCTAAATCTTTATTAATTATTAATAATACATACCTTCAAAAACAACGGCTTGAATTTAAATTCTCGATAAGAATAATTGTCCTTCTAACTAATTTATTTGATAATTACAATTTGTGAACAGAAGCAGAGTTGTCCTAAGTGACAAGTGTGATCATTTATGACCAACTCCCAGCATGCGAGAGAGGACCACTGGGTAGGTGAGGTGATGGCATGCACCCATGAAAGTGACCATAAATAACCATCTGGGTGATGCCAGATTAACCACACATTTCAATTTTAAAGATTCATTTTATCTTAGTATGTCAATGTTCATATTATTTACTTTTTTATTTCAATTGTAATAATGAACTCATACCTTAAAGCACGTATTTGAAATTATAATGAAGGAAAGTATCAAATGCCCAATATATATATATATATATATATATATATATGAAACCAAATTTTATACTGTTCTGTTCTGTGATTCAATTTTAAATTTTATTATGCCAAATTTTAAAGTATCAATTTTAAGATTGAAGTTCGGAGGCGCTGTTGTGTCGTTTTGAATATGACGATCGTGAAGAACCCTATATTCACTAGAAGCGCAGCATTCTTCCCTACTTCAGACCTATACCAGCCGGAATTCGAACTTGAGTCTGTATCTTGACAGGATACTATTCTACCACTAGACCACTTATACTTGTTGATTGATTGTAGAGAATGAAATTATATAACTTGATTTTATTTATATAGATTGGCCATTTTATACTTTCTTACATTGTCATTTCAATAAAATGTGATTCTTAAAAATACAAATTATGTCTGATATACATGAAAATACTAATTAAAATTTTACAAAAGTTAAATTAATATGTTTGATTCTCTAAATATTTTATAAAGAATACAATGGTATGTCTTAAAATTACATTCATAAAAAAATCATATTATTATTAACAAACATGTAATTTACCTTATTTATTTATTTTATCTTAAAATTAATATGGCTAATTATGAAATATTTAAATAAATTATAAAACTCGATTTTAATGTGATAGAATTTAAAATAAATATAAAATTAAATATATTTTATGATTTACTAATCAAAAGTATATAAATATTGTGAAAATGATAAAAAAAAGCTTACATTTATTTTCAACTTTTTCACCTACATAAAAGAATTACTTTCTCCTATTTAAAAGAATTGCATAAAATTTATGTTTTGAACGTACTAAATATTAAAAAGGAACGTGGATGAAATCAAATCAAATTTTTTATCAATTTGAACTCGAATTAAGTATTATATTTTCCCATCAATTATCTAACTTGAAATTTAATAAGATTTTTAAAATAAAATATATATCCAATTCAACCCAAATATATATAATTTTTATTTTTATTCAGTAAAATAATATTTTAATTAAAAAATATAAAAATATATTATTACAACTATACCTATATATATATAAAATATAGTTATACTATTATTTCATGTGACAGATTTTTCACACTAAACTCGAATTCAATTCAAACCCAAATTTTAAAAAGAAAAAAAATCGAATCAAAACCTATCGGTTCCGGATCACGTACCCATCCCTACTAACTAAATATAGAATCATTCCCTCATCAATTAAATTATCTAAAAAGTATGAATTCACGAGTCTTATTATTCTTGGCCTTGGGGATCCAAAAAGCTAGAATCAAGAGTTTCACAAGGTAAATTAAAATCAAACCAAATGTCTCATTACAATTTCAATCTACAAAGTAGAATAAACCCAGCAACCTCACTGGATAATAATATCAGCAGCACAACTCTAAATTAATATGAAAAGGAAAAGGTCATATGTATCCCACAACGATACATATTCTGTGTATACCCACAATTTGATTTTACATCTTAATCCCAGTAAAGAAAACCTGTATTGAAATTCAAAAATGAAAAATAATAAGACCCTCAATGCTCAAACCTTACATGAATTCTCTGCAACTGATCTCTTTATCAAGTTTTCATCAAACAAGGTGAACCAAATTAGCCCTCTGAATATGTAGAAATCCGGTCGTTAACCCGCCCTGCAGTACAATTTTCCTACAATTATCATTTTTTTCACATTGTAGCATCCTCCTCCTACGCTGCGATTCCTGGAGAAAGATGATGATCAAGGGGAGATGAGTACCGCAAAGAAAGCACCCGAATTGACGTTCAGTTTATCGACTTATCACTGATATATATAGGTTTGTTTTCATTACTAGTCTAGCATGCATGAAAAAATGGGGTACCTAGTTAAAACTAGTGTACATTCCCTGTATCTGTTGATGAGTGTTCTATCATCTTAAGTATGCAGAGCCGTTAATATGTACAAGCAAACAGAGAGATTATCTGACGGAAAAAGAAAGGATTGTAATGAAACAGTTGAATAGAAAAGAAATCGTCTTGCCTCTATCTGACTGCATATTGGTAACACCATAGCCCCCAATGTAACCAGCAGAGCTATTAGTCCTAACATCTGAAGTTGTGTTTCCCAGCCCAAAACCGTAGGAACTAGACCGCTCTAGTTCTAAGGGTGAAGGCAGCCAAGTGGAATCCCCATAAAGTGAACCATTGTCATCGATATCAGCATAAGCCCCGTTATAACCACCATTCGAAAAACCATGGGATGATACCTGTGCAGCACTGGCCCCGTTGTTTCTCTCATAACCTATTCCTCCTGATCCAACCCCAAAGTGTCCATTTCCATATCTGAGATTGCCGTTATTGTAAGCAAAAGCAGCTCCACCTTGGCCAGTAACAGGAGATGAATCCCAAAGTGGTCCAATGCTGCCGAAAGAACTCACCCCTGAATTCCCACTTCCAGAACCCATGATAGAATTCGAGTTTAGGAAGTTAGCAGCATGGTTAGGACTTCCGTTTCCCCACATATCTCGACCAGCTAAGTTTGAGATAGAACTATTTCCTCCACCACCCCCACCATACCCAAGGAGGCTAGCAAACCTGTCCGGCTTTCCATTAAATGAAGTGTTCAATCCCCAGCCGTAACTGAGGTTACAACTAAAGTTTGAGCTTCCTCCATAGCCTGGGCTCAAATTCGGCTCGAAACTCAGTCCCATACCATAACCAGGGCCCAATGGAGGAAATCCATCCCGACCAACAGTAACTGGACTAAATCTACCTTCCGCTCTAATACCATAACCTCCAATTGAACTAGCATTATAATTTTGCATGTAACCATTAAGGAAGCTATTGACTCTACTCAGACCAAAGTTATATCCGCCCAACTGGTTCGGAGTTGGCACCGGAGTTGATTCTTTGGGGACAGCCCGTTTGACCTCAACCATTTTTCCATTGAGTTCATGAAATGTTCGTTGCAAGACCTTATCCACGACATCCTCTGAATCATAAGTTATGAATCCAAAACCTCGTGGCCTCTGAGTATTGTGATCGTACATCACAACCACGTCTGTAATTGTACCAAACTGCTCAAAGTACCTCTTAAAGTCACTCTCGGTGACGGTGGATGCTAACCCTCCTACAAATATCTTTTTTGTTCGAGCAGGACCAGGTGATCCATGAATGCTAGCATTGCTTTTGTTTAGAACGTTACGGTCATCCCTAGGAACTGCCTTCTTTGCCTCAACCTGAAAGAGAAAATCTGAGTTCCTCAAGTGCACAAACTCCTTGAATCCTAATGTAAAAAGTTCAATTTTCCTGGAATTCGTTCAAGCAACTTAGAAAAATGATGTACAATATGCTCTTCTGCAATATGTAAATTGTAATTTTTGAAACGCTCTCTAGGTTCTTAACTTACAAAATCTCTTGGATGGTAAATTATTATCAATGGTGAACCTTTTCAAAATTAGAAAATGTGCCTTCTTAATGCAATTGTAACAAGAAAATTGTGCTATTTCTCAGCATCAATTACTTTCTTTTAAGATAAGCATTGATCCTCAACCGAATGTGGTACCCTACTCATGATTAAAACTGCAAACGAAAGCAGTTGACATTGACAATGTTCGGGACTCTATGGCCTACTTTTGCACTTGAAGGGGGAATGCATATTACCAGAATAGCTCCTACTCAATAGCAACATGTTGCCAAGCAAACCTCACAATGAACAACAATACACACACACGCGCGCGTATATATATATATATATATATATATATATATATATATATATATATATATATATTCATGAAATTACATCAGGACAGGAAACTTGCCAATTCTAAATCTTCGAATTGAATGTTATAATTCATGACATGAAAGAAAAGCAACGAAAGGGTATCCTTTTGAATTCATCATGTTATAAGACAGTTAAAAAGGAACTTACAGCTCTACCATCTATCATATGCTTTTCCATAACAACTCTTTCCGCAATAGCCAGGTCGGCGAACACAACAAACCCGAACCCTCGGGCACGACCGGTAGCTCGATCCTTCATTATCACAGCTTCCACAACTTCTCCAAAGGTCTGAAAATATTCCCTAAGACGTTCCTCATTTGTGTCCCAAGAAATCCCACCAATGAATAGCTTGCCAAGTTCCATTTCCATCCTAAACATAAATTCCAATACTCTTATTCAAGAAAAATAAAAATCAATTCCTTTTTTATAGATCAGCTAAATCAAATTCATAGATCAAGGTAATTAAGGATTGAACATCATGTCTTAAAGAACAATCCAACATAAAACATGGTAATGTAGAATAAACAAAAGGAAACAGGAACTATACCTTGTCTGAATACAGAAAATCAAAAAAAGCTTTGTCCTTTTTTTATATCAATATAAACAGAGATCGGGTGCTGTTGGATTCAATCGAAAAGCATGAGACAAATAACAGATTCGATCATCATCAATCGAACAAGAATCCAGGAATTCTAAAAAAAGGATCAAACTTTTATGAGAAATGAGATGAAACAGCAATACCCAGAAATGAAAAACAGAAGGAAACAAAGAATCAACCTTTGCTGGTTATGTTTTTTATTTAGTTTTTAACCCAGATGGGGAAAAGTAAGAGAATCTAAGATCTGAGGAGAAGCATAACAAGAAGAGAGAGGGGCTTAAAGGCCCTCCTCTCTCTCTCTCTCTCTCTCTCTCCCTTTGTGTTTTTGTTGCAGCTAATGTATCAATGGGGTGGAATTACATATACATATATATATATATATATATATACATGCGTGAATGAGTGAATCGAACAGAGAGGCATAGATGTGTGACTGAAATCGATTTGGATGAAAAATAGATTATATATATTTTTATTTTATTATTAAATTTATAGAGAAAGAGAGAAGTTCGGCTATCCATCCATGTAAGAAACTTACATTGGAATTCATGAACATGGACACTTTCTAAATTTGTGTATTTCGTTTGAAATTCCATTGTTTTTGCATTTAGTAAATCATTCGTTCATTACACCAAAACCAAAAAATAAAAATGTATTTTTTTAGTAACTCATTCATAAGTAAAACCCTCTTGTATTTTTATTTATATGTTTTGAAAGTCTTATATTCAATCATTATAATAATTATATATTTTTTAAAAATAAATAAATTTGAATAGGTATTCTTTGCAACCATTCTATATTATTTTAAAAACATCTATATTTAAAATGATTAAAATCAAAATAATGTAAAATTTAAAAATCTCATTATTAAAATTATTGATTTTAAACTGTCAATTACATTTCCTAAATTTAATTAAGTTCTGATCCTGAATAACGTAAGATATTCAAATTTTTCTATCAATTATTACATTATAAAATACTTAAGATCTAACTATGGAAAACTTCATTTAACTGTTGTATTGATAAAGATATAATCAAATTTGAAATATGTCATTGATAATGTAAAAATTAATATTTTGATATGTGATCCTCAAATCTAACATTATTTAAATATTTAATTTTTAAAATATTTAAATTTATTTTTTAAAACTTATATTCATTAAATAATTGAAGATAATATATACATAAAAGTTGCCACTTGACTTAACTCATGTTTGTATCAAATTTTAAAATCTTGATTGATTTATGTCACGAAAATATATCTTATGTCTCCCAAAACAACGTAACTTACATGTCATGTCATTTTTAAAAGAACATCAATACATGAATTAATCTAAAATTAATTTGATTTAATAAATATTTTTAAAGGTTATACTTTATTAAAAACGAAATGATTTTATTATCTTAATTATTAAATTTTTATAATTTAATGATTAAAATAATATTGTTTTGTTAAATCAAGAAGTTCGATACCTATGACAGTCTCTTCTATTCCTAATACTGAATCGAATTATGATTTATAAGATTAATAAACAAAAAGTTTTAAAATTATAATATATTTTTGGTGTTATGTGTGATTTTGGTTAACTATTTTTTTTCTGTTTCTTATTTTATTTTATAATTAAATACAGTAGAAATTAATTAGAAAGTTACTTGGCGTAGAGGCAAGGGATGAACCGTATCATCCACCAGATTTTGAATAGAAATTATAAATACTTAACATACACCTAAAGGGTTGAAAGATATTTTGTCAAAAACAAAAAAGAATATTATAATTAATTTAATATTTATCAATTTAATCATTATTTTTTATTAAAATTTAACATTCAATCTTTTGAAAAGAATTCTTATTATAACACTATTTCTGTTAACGATTTTTATATGACAATCCACGTGAATATTGTATTGACATGTCATTATTGTTTTACATATCATATTAACAAATATTTTAAAAATATATAAAAAATAAAAAATTAGCATGAATCACATATGCTATGTCGACGTTTTTAAAATTTTAATATTATACTTCATATTCATTGAAAACTAAATATATTGAGAATTAAAATTAACGTAAAAGAATGTAATTATATTAATATATTATATAAGTATTAAAGATTAAATTTATTATTACATGAAAAATTAAAATAATAAAAGGGTTAAATTTTGAATGAATACTGGTTTTTTTTACCAAATATTTGGTGAGTGAGAGTAATCACATGCATGACGTTACTGCCTTGCAAGACAAATCCATCACTTTCTTTTTTTGATAGTATATCATATAATTAATATTAAATGTATGTTTTAATTTGATTTAAATCACAATTAAAGATTTTTTTTATATATAAAAAAGAGTAATTTTCTTGAATAAATAAAACAATGATGATTTGGTGGTGGAATTCCGAATCCCATTCCTAACCACCTCCCCTACCGTAGAGGACGACGTCTCTTATTCATTTCCCAATGTCCAAACAAAGCCCGACTATCTCCATTTCCATTTTCCTTTGGACCTAAGGAACATCAATCTCATACATTAAACATTAAGTAAAAATTACAGATATACATATATAGTGCTCATGTTGATTCAAAAAACATATTAAATATATACATCATGTGTGTTTTTTATTTTATAACAAAATTTTGAATTTTTTTAATATTCATTTTGACATTGGCTAACACAAATATTAAAAATTATGATTAAATTTCACGTAATGTAAATAAAAATACGTATTGTCAAACGAACATTTTATAAAATATTAAAATATGTTATTTTCTTAAATGGTAAAATAAAATATTAGTATTTGCATAATTTTGGCTCTGTCCAAGGGAAAAACAAGTAAAATGTAATTAATAAGGATGATGCAATTAAGTTGGACCCGAAATATCTCGTTGGACAGCCAGCCTCCCAGCTAAGACTTTGCTTTAGGTTGAGCGTAATGCAGTAGTTGTATTATTAGACTACTACCATTTGCTACCCTCTTAATCTTTCTTTTATTAATAATAATTCCACTCTATATTTAAATTGCTATTTCTTTTGTCTCTTCCCAGCAAACTTGTGAGCATCGTTTACCAGATTATATTATAATTAGAGATAAGTATTTGATCGAATTCGGTTGAATGAAAAATGTTTAAGTTTATGTTCAGATATTAATGTAATTATTTATAATATTATGATATTAATTGTTTTCTTTTAAATGGTTTTATCTAACTGTATCTAATATACATGAATATTTTTCATATTTTTTATATGTGTAAGATTTATAACGCTATTTAATAAATGAAGCATATCTAAGAATGAATTTTGAGGATAAAAATTGATTAGTATAAAGGAGTTAAAGAATTTATGAGAAGAAAGAATTTGTAAAAAATAACAAAAGTAAGAACTAAATTGAAAAAAAAGAGAAAATTTATTATCAAAAAGAATAATTGAAGTAACATAATTTTTAGAAAATTATTGAGGAGCACATGGCTTAAATTTGGATAAAAATAAACTATAGAACAAAAGAAGAATTAGAGATCAAATCCCAAAACAATTAAACTACTCAACTAAAGACCAAAACAAATGCATTTTAACTTTCAGATTTTCAAAATTTGTTAATTTATGTTCAATTCAAACTTAAGACCTGTACTAAAAACTTAAATTTGATTGAATAACTCAATTTGAATAACTTGGAACTTTACTCCATATTATATTAGTCTTTGACATTTTCCATTTCTTATAATCATTCTAACAAGTGGCGATGCATGTTGCCACCCACTCTGAAATTTCTTGGAATTCGATTTTTTTCTTTAAAATTTGAAGTTTTCTTCTATTAATAGATGTTTGTTTAGCTTGTAATTTTATTGTGTCCACTTTAATACAAAATTTTCATATTATTAATATATGTGTATTTATCCTTAAAAAAAATTCTAAACCCTTGGTAATCCTAACATTTGTTCGATATAATGTAAATTAATTTGGTTTAGACCCTGTTTTGTGTATACATTTTCTTATTTTTATTTCATTTAATTTATAAAATTTGAAATACACAACTTTACTTAAAATTAGGTTTAAATGTACCATTGACTCCTAAACTATACTGTTTTTATCGAGTTACCTCTTAAAGTATTTTTCGGGACGTTTTGTCCCCTCAACTTTAAATCTTTACCTCATTGATCACTAAATTATACTGTTTTTAACAGAGTTAACGAAATGGGGAAAACGGGATAACAATTTAAAGTTAAGGGAACAAAATGTCTCGAAAAATATTTTAAGGGATAACTCGGTAAAAATGATATAGTTTAGGAACCAACGGTGCATTTAAGCCTTAAAATTATTCAATTCTTTACTATTCGATCGAAGATTATTGATGATTTTTAATTAATTAAGCAATGAGTAGACAGTGGATGGGGTTTTAGATAAATGAAACATGCATATATTATTATATAGTAACAAAGGAATATATATGATCATTACATTCACGTGGAAGAAGATAATTAATTAATGAAGGGGGTGTAATGGAGCTGGATTTTCCATTTCACCAAAGTCAAAGCTATACCAGGATCCATCTAGATCGGATGAACCTGTTTAGAACACATCTACATACGACTTACGCGTATATTAACAACTTCAGTATATTTGTAACCATAAGTAACCACTGTTTACAGGATGCAGAAGCTGATGAGAACCCAAGCAACATAAGTTCCTATCTTTGGTCTAATTCCACCAGGATCAAAGACGAAAATTCGTCCCAAATCAGAAGATATGCAAATCCGAATTTCGCCTCTCAATGCGGCATTTGGCTTCTCATCAGAAGCTGATTTTTTTAAACTTGAGAAAAGCACCAGACGAAGACTCCAGTTATCACGTAGGTGATGTAGATAAATGAAAATTCATTCGCTTCGATCTAAATTGTTAAGGCAAACAATGGAAGAAGGAAATCAAGAAAAAAAGGGTGCATTCTCAAAATAATTCAATAACAAGGAAGCAAAGGCTCTAGTACAATTCATTGGGAACTTGGAACTTAGACCTCTATGAATACAGCAGCAAGACAAAGAGACATGAGCAGAGGCAATCTGATTATTGAAAATCATTTAAATCATCCAAAATGTCTTTGATTATAGAAATAAGTCTATTTGTTGAATCCACATTTCTGGTACCGAGCGAGCTCACCATCATTAGGGAAGAATCCCATGAGTCGACCAGCAGAGTTCTGGTAGGCGTACATAAAACCACCCATCAGTCCTATCAGCCCTCCTGACCTTTCAGTCCCGGTTTTATACCTAAAATTCCTGAAAAGGGTTCAAAACCAAATTCCATTTGAATCAAATTCAGAGACCCAAATTGTATTTGAATGATGTTTAAGTTACCGGAGAGGTCGCCGACGGTGACGGAAACTCCAGTGATGGTAACGAAACGGAGGTAATCGAGGATATTGAAATTACCACAGACCTTGGTGAAGGGAGGATTCCGATCTAGAACCGGGTACTCTGGTTTAGCTGAAGCAGTGATGTCGGTGTCCATTTGTGATTGTTTGCTTCTTTCGATGATGCCGGTTGTTGCTCAACTTCGATGACTTCACTTAGATGGGGGAAACACAACAGAACAGAACAACCTGCAGCTGTTTGTGTTGTTTTGGGCCTGAAGCTGTGTGTTTTAGATTTGGTCTGTTTCTGCTGGGCTGCTAAATTCATCAATACATATATTATGTTGGGCTTACTGTCATCTTGTCTTGTCTTGTCTCGTCTCGGGACGACGATTCGGATTATGAATTCGGAATCAAATTATTTTAGCTGACCCTTATTCCCATATGTAATGGAGTAAGGGGAGGTAGGATAGTAGGTTGTGCTCTCAACGCCAGATTGAAAGCAGCTTCCGTGGGAGACCTCCAAATTATTAATTGTTCACCGTGGGACTCGATCACACGACCTCAAAATTAAGAACCTTGTACTCTACCAACTGAGCTGGAATCAAATCCGTTTTTTAAATCCAGATATTGTTAATTACTATAATGTTTGAATTCAGATGTTAAAATTACTATTCATTGTGGACTAAAATGGATGTTGATAGACATTCTCAATTTCCAAATATTTATTATCTGGATATATATTACTTACATGAATTACGGATTCAAATATTAGAAAGTTGTTATATCCATCACAAATTCTATTTTTCTTTTATTTTTTTATTTAATTCAAACTAAACATGATTCTTTCTCTATATATATTCATTCTCTATGTATGTGTTAGTCGAGGAATAAATATCAAAACGTGGACAAAGGGGTACAATTTAATATATATATATATATATATATATATATATATAAACATATCAATCGCACGCCTTGTCCATGAACCCATATCCCTATTCATTCCACCTAACATCAGTTCCGAAGATCGATGTTACTAAGGAATGAGAAAGAGATTAATTCAAATTTAATGATTTTTTATTATATCTTAAAGTATAAGATTTCAGAGAGTTTTTTAAATTTAAACAGGTTTATATTCAAGACAAATTCGAGGTGGAAAAACATGAATATCAAATCGGAATCAGATTAGAAAAGACTATCCCGTTCCATTGCAATCCGTTTCATTTTCTCAACTACAAAGACTATCGAATCGGGTTATATTTTTCTTAAAGATCAAGTTTTGCATTGGTCGGATTCGAGTTTAAAATAAAAAGTATTCGAATCGACCCGAGAATAATAGTATAATTGACTTTTAGGGATATTTGTTATAATATTTCTCTCTTTATATTTTTTAATTAATTATCTATTTTACTTAATAAAAATAAGAATATATATATATATATATATTTGTGTTGGGTGTAAATTTTTACTCTAAAACTCTAATTGAGTTTCGAGTCAAATAAATGTTCACCTAAACTCAAATCACATGGAAAAATATTATATTTGAATGCAAATTCTAAAAGACCAAAACTCAACTCGACCTACCCATCCCCATCCCTTCTTTTGCCCCGAAACTTCCACAGCCTCTGTCCACCCCATTTTATATTTTGAAAATACCCACCATGAAAGGCTCCAACATCTCTCGCAATCTCCAAAGCTAGAAAAGAAGCATTGGATTTGGGGGCAAGCTAAGATAGCCCTACAAGAGAGCATCCTTCAACCTATTGTTGCTCCAAACATGCCCTTCCAAATTCCAATCCATGTGCTTACCCTTCAACATTCTTTTGCACTCTTCTTCACGTACCCTAAACCAAAGGTCTCCCTCCCCCACCCTATATAGATTGTCCCATACAACCTTGTCCTCTTGGACTTTTGCTCCTCAGCTTCCGATTCTAATTCTCATTTAGAATTTCATCGAGCAACTACAAATGCATGCTTTAAAGTAATGAACCAAGCGACCAACACAATCAACCATCCCAACATCCTATATATAGACACACGTAAATGCCCTTCAAGGTTTCATTAAGGCTACAAATGGGAAGGGGAAGCATTGGTTCCCATGTCGTGTCGACACAATCGTCTTCCATCGCGTTGTTGCAAGAGAGGTTTAGGCAATTGGAGAAAATGAAAGAGCTGAGGGAAGAAAGGGAACTATTAAGAAAGCTGTTGGAGTCGTCTCCACCGCCATCGGGGTTGCTGTTGTTCCACTCGTTGACGGTTGCACCTCCTCGTCAAGTACCTAATCTATCACTCTGGTCTGACGGTTCACAGTCTCATGCAGCTGCTCTGAGTTCTGGTACCTTGGGGTGCGTGGAGACCCCTCTTTTTTCTCTGTTGCCGGCAGTTATGGGGACACCTTCGTTGACGTTTTCGATTGTGGTTCTCGAAAAATTCCGAGATTCGGACTATTATGATGACGTTGATACATCCCTTCATCTGTAACAAATGATACACCACTTGTGTTTGGTTTCCTGGTGTAGTATTAGGTTACAAAGGCAAGAGTTAGTAGTTGTTTAATTTCTAACAAGCCATAGAATAGTAATATTAGTGTTATTACTATGATACTGTCTACCAACTATTTCATATGGATAAAGACCCTATAAAAAATCTTAAGTTTCTCTCAATTTTGAAATCAAATAAATCAACCTTTCAAAGGAAAAGTAATTTAAACTTTGTTAATTTTTAAATGAACAATTAACAACAATAATCAAAACTTTAGTGTTTATCGTCAATTTAAAAATAATTTTGATGTTAATAATCTCTAGAGTAAATGGTTAAAAATTTTCAATTGAGCACGAACCAAAACGACTCCAATAATTAAGGAAATATTATTATTCCTTGAGGTAATGAGTTCAAATACTATGCATGTAGAAGATCAATTCATTTTATTATGTTATCTCTAATGAAGATACATGCAATAAAAGCATATGCTTATGATTAAATTCGGTAGGATATATATAGATTGAATAATCATGTATGCATTTATGGAAGATAAGAGTGCGGACCTTCACATTGATGCATATGTATGCACAAACATTTTGGCAAATGTTGTGGATAAAATTGAGTATGGCGTTGCTCACTAACCCAAAAGATCCTCGGTTTGATACGTACTTTTCTAGTTCTCACAATCCCTTTCCTCACCTTTTGTATGTATCACGGAAGATCTATGTCAGTACTTTTGGTTCTATTGCCCATAATTTTATGTACATTGTTAGACCAAAGGTATGGCTCATGCTATCTTCTTCCAAAGCTCACCTTCTCCTTCCTACAAATTATAATAGTTAAATTATCTCTAATTTTTCAATTCTCAAATCGAAGATATTTACGTTTAAACATACTTAAATTTATGATTTTGATCAAGAATGAAACTACTAAAATTATAATAGGAGTTACGTCTCTGAATTTTCCGATTTAATTATAGTTTTTAGTTCTTTCATACACCATGGAAAGCAAATACAATGTGCATAGAAGAAGAAAAAGGAGGAATGGGTGGTCTTTGAATTCAAGCCTATAGAGTGCAGCAGTGTGGAATTGAAGGCACTGTCCCTTACCCTCTTGGAACAACAAAAGCTCCTTCTAGTGTTGGCCATAGAATGGCCTTTAATGCAAAGGTACAGCACCATTAATTCCCGCTCGGCTGTGTGGTCTCAGTCAGTGTGCGTGTACACATGAGGTGGCTTTCCTTTTCCTCTATGTGTAGTCGCTTAAAATTTTACTATTTCATTACCATTTTAAATTTGTTAACATTCCTTAAAAGAAAATTGTTAATAGATTATTATTTGACACATAACGTAAAACTCAATTATTCTTTATTTTCTCAATATAAAATATATTTTGCTGCTCAAAATTTTTTTGAAACCCATTCTTTTATATATAGTAATAATATATATGCTAATTTTTTATATGAAAATTATATAATTAGCAAAGCTTAGCATAATATAACTTCTTAATTTCTAAATCAAAGGATTATTTTCAAATTTTATATAATTTCTTTTTATGATAATCGTAATTAGACATTTACATGGATCACATTTATATACAAGATTAACTTGTTTTATATTTGTTCAAATTCGATCCAGCTAAAAATATGAGTCTCAAATTTTATCTAAATTCGACCATGTCTTTAAAGGGTTAACCCAAACTCTTTTGAGTAAGTGCACTGACGTATTTACATGCAGTTAAGGATGGACACTTTAAATATTCTAATGTTAGGTATTTATTTTGTTGATTATACCCACTATTATTTTTTTTATTTTTTTATTTTGCATCCACCCCTAAAAAATATGTGTGCTCATTCTAAAAAAATTCTAGATCCGTCAGTACCGCCACTATATGTGCATTTTTTTACTAAAAATATTTATTTTATTTTATTTTAATTTAATATTTAATAATTATACAAACTTTTTATTTTATTAAAAATATATTTTACTCTTTTATACGTAAACAATTTAATACATAATTTTAATACTTACATTATAATATTATTTATTAATATGATTTTATTTTACATTTTTTGTTCTGCACATCCAGCCAAGCCTATTTAAGGAGGGGGTGGTTGTAGGCTGGCGGCCATGGTAATTAGTTCGGTCTACCGTGTACGTGCATTGTTCTTCAAGAGTTTTCTTCTTCCGGGTTGCTCTATATTTCTTCCTTCTCCGTTAGGGCGTCGGATTTCAGCCACACAAAAAACATGAGTTATTTGGGTGTGGGTGTTAATCCCGTTAATGTCCCCGTATACCACGACACTAATTTGAAGGTCATCGACAGAAGAGTGAGAGTTACAGAGCTGACCTTAAGGTTTTTGATATGTGGCCTGAGTGTTCTTGCAGCTGTTCTTGTGGGAACAGATACTCAGATCAAGGAAATCTTCACGATTCAAAAGAAAGCCAGATTTACAGAAATGAAAGCTCTCGTGTAAGACCCTTCTTCTTCTTTTTATCATCTTTGGTGTTATATTTTAACTGAGGTTTTTGGTGGTGGCCAATAGCATAGCTGCAGCCTACTCATTGGTACAAGCAGTGCGTTGCGTTGTGGGTATGGTGAGAGGAAGTGTCCTCTTCAATAAGCCTCTGGCTTTGGCTATTTTCTCTGGAGATCAGGTATGCTTTTCCTTCGCTAATATTCTCTTTGCATGCATCTCCCCAATACCATATATTATTATATAGAGAGAGAGACATGGATGGATAGAGAGAGATCGATCGGGTTGACTGCCCTTAAAAATTCAAATTCTCATATAATATAGGTAAATTCTTTGTATTTTCTATTTACATGTTTTCACCCCTCAAATTTTCTAAATTTGTCCTTCAAAATTTTAAAAGTTCATCCCTAGCATAAAATCTTGTTTCTGTCTTTATATAAAGGTAGTATATATTGATGTTGTGTATAATAACATACCATGTGTTTGCCTATACATATTAAAGATGACGTTGAATTATGTTGTTATTGATCGTCTTCTTTTATAATTCGATTAATTTTGAGGATAAATTAAGCAAATGAGCATAGTTAAGGAGATAAACTGAATATTGATATCTAAGTAGGTGGAATACATTGAAAGTGAACAACAATTATTTCATTCAAGTGGTAGAGAAAAGGGAAGAGAAACTGAAAAGAAAAGTCCAGGTTGATCACAACATTTGTTGTTGAGACAAGCTTTGAATGTTGATGTTAATGTATTCGGCAGCGTGGTAGGTACCACTGTGGCTGCTAAGCCTTTATATCAATGTATTGACAGTATTGCAACACTGGCAACAGTACGAGAAGTCAAGCAGCATGCAATAATGGAGGGGGAGATGCATATCATAAATGGAAAACAAACAACTAATACCTAATCGGTATAATATATATTTAAATTGTCATAATAAATAGGTTGGTCCTTTAGGGATTCATATAACAACGTGCATCTTTCTAAGCAAGTTTTCTAGGAGAAAAAAACGTTGGTCATTGATGCTGTTGCATGGAGATTATTGGTTAATCTCCTATTATTTACTTGTTAAATTCAAACTTCTTCTCATTGTTTGAACTCGACTCAGTTCAACTTGACTAAATTAAGTAACAATCCTGATTAAACCTTAACATTTTTCTCACTATTCGAATTTGGCTTGGCTCAAGAACAATCCTAATTAAACCTTAACAAGCTTCGGCATTTATATTTTTTATTTTGAAGGAGATCATAGATGGACCGAGTCCCATATAATTTATACATTTTTTTTATATTTTATATTCATGATATAATTTTGGATCTCTAAAATTTTATAATTTGGCACTTTCTAAATTGAGTGACCCTGAGATTATCTGTCGTGCGTGCCACACCTGAAATGAGCTGACATAGAGACACCAGTTTCTCTGGGGAAGCTCGGCACAAAATGCACTCAAACATTACACTAATCTGGACTGAGCAAGTATATATATGATGGTTCTTTTGCAGACCCTGGCATACTTGAACGTGGCGGCAGTTGGAGCTGCCGCGCAATCGGCAGCTTTTGCCAAGTTGGGGCAAACACAGCTTCAATGAATAGTGATATGCAACATGTACAGGAAATTCTGTAACCAAGTAGGTGAAGGAATAGCGGTGGCACTACTTGTTTGCATTTGCATGGTGGTCCTACCTTGTATCTCTGCATTTGGTCTGTTCCGGTTATATGGTGGCAATATGGCCAAGAATAACTCCTGTTGGTAGAATATGTGTGCCGAATTCTGCTTCTTTGTTTCACTTTTAAAGGGTAATTTCCAGTGATTTTGTGTTTGTCATATATATATATATATAATATAAGTTGATGATGATAAGACAGAAGTGGGTTCATCAGTTTTGGAATCCCATTGACAATAAATGAGGGCTTATTCTTTTTGCAGAAATTTGTTCTCATTAAAGCCGGTTAATTTTTCACGTGTAATTTCTCATGTTCCACTCCTCTGTAAGCAAGAAAGAGAGTAGGGTAAAATATATATTTTTGGAAATATTTTATTATATTTATTTAATTTAATATTTTTTAATTAATTTAAATAAAATAAAATACATATTGAATAAATTTATTCCAATTAAACTAAAAACTTGTTTACAATAAATTTATTTTTGATCCAGGATCGGATTTCGAACAAATGTCGACTTATGACTCGAACACAAGTCCTTTGTCACCACTTATGTGATTCTCTTCTTCGGTTCTTCCTCTAATTGAATCCCGATGACAATCTGTAACCGGCCATGCCATTGAACAATTGTGTATTTATTTCATGTAAGGTTCCGTTCCGGGACGAGTAATAGCCACCAACCCCATCAAATTCCTGCAGGAAGCTCATCCAAGCTAAGTATATTACCTCCCAAACACAGATGAACATTGGTAAGAATTTTTTAGAATATTCGTCGTCTACCTTGGATTTTGTCTTGACATAGTAAGGTGTTAAACATGGATTCAAATCTTCAAGGACCAAGTCACTTGGACTACCGGGAGCTGTTCGATCGCCAGAACTGAATTCCTGAAAGTTTCGGATTCCAATTATATTAGGTTAAGGTTAGGGTATAAATGAACAGAGCCTTCGGCTCATCATAAAATCTAAATTTCTTACCAAAGAATCAGAATGTTCATCTCCATCCAATATGCTACCATGCCGCTGGTGACAAGACTTATCTGCTTTCATCTGTTCAAAAGCATACGTTTAACTACAAGAATCCTTAGCTTATAATTGGATTGGTTTGTGTGGGATTATTATTACCTGATGAAGATCCAGGGCAAGGCATTGGAGTTGTTCTGTAAGAGAAGTGACCTGTCTTTGGAGAGTTGGGATCAGTTGTTTCGCTTGCGTCAGCTCCGAACCTTGCGTTTCTACAAGTTCTTGAAGCTGAGAATTCATGGCGTCGGGGAAAAGTACTGCACTTTTCAATGATTTGATTTCTTCTCTTTGTTTCAAGCATAAACCTTTCAGCTTCTCAGCCTGCAAAATACCATCTATATCAAATTTTAAGTTGAACCCGAAAATTTATCGTTAATTCAAACGTATCCAACTCGAACTTAAACTAATCTCAACCAAAATTGATCAGATTCTGAAACTGACGCAAATACCAAACAATCTAAACCCGAAACAACTCGAACTTTTATGATTCAAACTCGAACCAACTCGAGCCCAAAACAATTATATTAGCAATGAAATGATGAGATTGGCAGGGGGAAATGGGGTGACCTCTGTGTTCTTGTCTTGAAGCTGAAGCTTGAGCAAAGCAATCTCCTTCTCCAGCTCTTTATTTGCAGTCAAGAGCTCCCTCTCACTTCTCAAAACCATAGCCAACGTCCTAGTATTCCCTTTTACCTCCGTCAACGCTCTCCTCTCCTTATAGGCGGAGCCGTTCCCGAACAGCTTCCTCTGCAACGCTGTCAAAGCAGTTCCCTTTCTCGCGGTCTTCTTGAGATCCTCGGCCAGTACATCGGATGGAATGAAAAGCTGACCCATTGTCTTGTTTTTGGATTTATTGTGGACGAGTTTTTTCACCATGCTCGTCAAGTTGTGGTGAGTGGTGGTGGACTTGGTCTTGCTTCGGCAACCTTGGGTGACGTCCAAGGGGTTTGATTTGACAAGCGCTTTAGAGAAGGAGGGTTTTGGTTTGCCGGAAGAGCAACTGTTGAGGTCTATGGATGATGAGGTGGAAGAGCATGAATCGTACGACTTGTAGCGGGTCGCCATTTTTACAGGGGGAAATGTAGTTGGAGATTATGTAAGAGTTCCTTGCTCTGTTCTGGTTTATGTTTGGTGTTTCACTGATTTGAAAGGGTTTTGTCCTCATTGAATTTTGTCGGGGAACGAGAGATTTTGAATTTTGATTATGGACATGTGTTGATTTGGGTGTGCGGTGGTGTTTGAATTTTGAAGTGTATGGCATGCCAATGGCGCCACAATGCTTTATTCAACTAATGATGATTTGGAGCGTAAACGAGCCGAGTTGAGTATTGCTGAGTCGAAAATTTTGAAATAAAATTTGATTCGACTCGAAAATTCGCGAGTTTAAAATTTTTAAGTACGACTCGAACTCGAAATCCTGAACTGAAGCTCGTGAGCAGTTCGAAAAGGCTCGAAATGAAAAAAAAATCTTAAACTTAACTTAACTGAAACCTCAAACTATAACATAAACCTTAAATACATGAAAATTTACTGTATTTTAAAAAAAATCAATACATAAAAATTAATATTATTAATAATTTACTTTTTAAAAAAAATAATATCTTAATATATTATATTTTCGAGCTGCTCACGAGCTTTTCGAGTCGATCTCGAGTAGCTCGCGATCTGTCTCATTTCATTTACAGCCCTAATGATGATATGGACTCATTCATCTAATTAAGGTCAAGTGTTGGATAGTATAGAATAAATTTTTTTAAGTTTATAAGTATTGTTTTTTTTATTTTAATTTTTTTAGAAGCAACTAATTTTAATAAAAAAATATTTAAATTTACAATAAAATTTTACAACCACAAATGTAAGCAAAATATAAAATAAAAATATTTTCTTAACCACAAGAAAACTAGTCACTTAAGATCACATAAAGAATGTACAAGTAAAAGATTAAAAAACTTAACCAAATAAATTCGAACAAAAATTATTGAAATAGGATGAAGCTATTGAAAGACCACAAGAAAAATCGAGCGATGTGAAAAATACTATCCACGAACACAAATCGTGTATTCAAATCCAATCCGAGAGTCCAAAGCAGTGAATATCAACATAATAATAATTAAGCGCCATCTTTATCAGTCACGAAGATGTCAAATCCAACCATGAAAAAGATGATAAACGAAAATAAAAACCAAACGACCGAAAACGTGTCATAATTTATAAAGATAGAAGAAAAAGTGTCTTAAAGACATAAGAATACATAAAGGTAGAATTATTAAAAATAAAAAATAAAAAAAATATAAAGATACTCTATAATAAAGCAAAAGAAAAACAATGAATATCGACAGTCGACAATTAATATCAAGGTTGCTGCCACTGCCCATCACAGAGATAAATAATAAAAGAGACTAACGACAACTAAAAAAATAGAAAAAATAGTGAATACTCGTATAAATATTTAAAGTTATTTTAATCTATTTTTTAATTATATTAAATTAAATCAAATAAATTCATTTTATTTATTTATTTTTAAATAATATAAGATAATTATAAAATAATATCATATTTTTAACTTATTAATAATACATACATATCTTACAAGTATAATTACTTAAATTTAAGTTTTTCAAAAATAATATTTTTTATCATTTAAACCATTTAATCGATTTTATTTGAATTAATTTGGAATCAATAATATTTTATTCTAATTCATCGATAATCACACTCTAAGCAAACATCAAAACTCCGCCACCTAAACAAACATCAAAACAACATTACTGGCATAAACTGAACACAAAACGAAGCGTTTAATTAATTCCCAAATGGTGCACAACATTGATGCCGCATATTGTCGGTTAGTTTCAATAGTTAATCAATTAATAGTTTTTATTTAAAAATATTATTTTATTAAAATTAAATTATTAAAATATTTCAAAAAAAATTAATATCAAAATGATCATTCAATTAAATATTAAAAAATACAAATTATTTTTGACATTCTATCTATTAAAAATGTTCTAAACTCTAGAGACTTCAAATAATTTTTTTAAAATTTTAATAAATTAAACTTTACCCTCTAGATTTCATATTTAAATAATTAAAAAAATTTATATTTTTAATATTTAATAATCTAAACTCTCAATGTTTAATATTTGGATAAATGTATGATTTTAGTTATTCAAAACAAAATAATACAAATCAACGGCTCAACCTATACAACAAAATAAACAAATAAAATATTCAATTCTATACAAAGAATTCTATTGACAGAATTCCTCTCTTCCGCATATGATAAATAAAAGAATTTCAAGCAAATTGCAAAATAATAATAAAGAAGACGAGTAATGGTCTACGTAAGTTCCTAACTCTAGTTCTTTACAAATGACAAACCTGAATAACACTTAGGGTCTGTTTGTTTAGCTGTAATTGGTTTTCCAGAAAATGAATTACTGGAATTTGAATTACTGGAATTTGAATTACTGGAAAATGAATTACTGGAATTTGAATTCTGAAAAATGAATTACATTTCTGTAAAATGAATTACATTTCTGGAAAATTAATTACATTTCTGGAAAACATCTGGAAAACGTTTTATGATGTTTGGAAGATGTTATTTAAATATTTTTTCGGTATATTTTAGTGAAATAAAATTTTATAAATTATATTAATTATTTATTAAAGTAATAGTACTATATTATATTTTAAAAATATTAATTAGTATATTTTAATATCTTTACTAAAATATTATTGAAATATATAAATAATATTATTCATTATTAAATATATAAAAAAATTTATTATATATTATTAAAATAAAAATATAATATCTTATATTATTATAATATAATTGATTATTTTATATAATATTAAAAATATTATATTATATTATTATAAATATTAATAAATATATTTTAAATATTTTAATAATTAATATTTTGATGAAAATGATATTAAAATATTTTATTAATATTAAATTCATAAAATAAAATTATTTTGAGTATTTTTGCTTTGAAGTGAAAAGTTCGGAAAATGACTTACGGAAAATGAATCCGTAAGTCATTTTACAGAAAACACAAAGGAAATTCTGTTACTAGGAAAATGAATTACATTCCGGAAAACGAATTACGTGAAACAAACACGGGAAACGTTTTCCGGAAAACGAATTACGTGAAACAAACACGGGAAAACATTTTCCGGAAAACGAATTACGTGAAACAAACACGAAAATTCGAGGAAAACCAATTCCGTAATTCCAATTACGAAACAAACATACCCTTAATCATATAGTTTTGAAAAGAGAACAACCAAAAGTCAAGGTTCATTTCCATGAAGGGCACATCCAACGCTCAATATTTGATATTTGAATCATCCCTATTATTTTAAATTTCTTTTCAAATATATTTAAAGAATGCTTCTAGTCCTCATCGTGCAGATACAAAGCGACGAGAAATCCAACGTCAGATTATACTACTTTTCTTCATTATATAGAATTAATCAAACCCCCGCAAAGTCCTTAATTACTCTCTTAATACCAAGTAGAAGAACATTATACTCTAAAAAAAACATACCGTACGTATACATACATACACGCAAGACTGAGTCGTGACTCGAGGGGTGAGTTAGCAGCAGGCTACAGACGAGACAGATAGAGGGTAGCTAAAAGTATTAGAATATTCAAAGGAGAGGCCTTCGCCGGGACCAAGTGGCTCCCCATCATTAACAAGGCAATCGTCATAGGTTTGTCGCCTGAACACCGTGGGATTAATCAACTTCACCGAACTAAACCACCCACAGCTGACGTGAATGTTGGAGATGCTACAACCCGACACGCACACGTTCATTATCTGAACCGTGTACGTCGGGATCCCGTTCGGAAGCGGTGCCGTCGAGCCTTGGAATATCACGATGTCGTCCTTGGTGCACTCGTTGCCGATCCGATTGGCATCGCCGTCGTCTGCATGTGGTGTGTGCATTAATCAGAGTTTTTCGTTCAAAGTCAAAATGGTTAGATATAATTAAATGATATAATTTATGATCTGTGTCATACCAGTGGACTGCAGCAGCTTCCTAGCTATGGCAGATGTGTTTTTCTTGGAAAAGGCTACGTTTTTAATGCTTCCATGACTCGCTGCTTCCTCTTGTTGAATTGACGACTCCACTGCATTCATTTATCGATCGAGTCTTAATTCAATTATATATTTTGAAGATCGAATACATACATTTTTAAATATAATTATCTTCGATTTAGATTAACACACATGCATGTTAGTTTTGGAGGAGAAAATGCAGATTACCGAAGAAAAGCAGTATAAGCAGAGGCAAAAACCAAGACAGAAAGGTGACGCCGCCATTGCCGAGTATTGTCTGCTTAAGGCTTGCCGGAGCAGTTGTCATTGTCATTCAACAAGATGATTAGTTGCCGGACCTCTTTTGCATGCGTTTTGATCGAAGAAGAAGATGATGGCAAATACTGAGCTGGTAGCTGAGGTGCAGATGAATTTATAAGACCAACAAGCATAGAGCGTGAGGAGCTCACTAGTACCGGATTGCCCTCCCTTTCTTAGGGACTCTGCTACCACGTGTAAGAACTTCACTCTCATTTTTTTACCATCACAAATGTTATCATTGTTTTATACTATAAAAGTAATTTTATTCAATTCTCCAATAATATCTAAATTATAAAATATATATTTTTGTGTAATATAATTTCTAGTTAGATAATTAGAAATATATATTATTGATGTTATTATGCATAGATTAACTTTTTAATACGTAATCGTTAGAATTCGATAATTTTAAAAAAAATCTTGTAAGTTAGGATGCAGAGTAACAACAACGTCCTTTATGTACCAAAAAAAAAAAGAAAATGAGTTAATATATTCTATAATATTTTATAAATATTATAGGAGAACAATAGGTTGATATATGACACAATACATGTAAGAATATATTTACATCTTCAATATTTTAAGTTAGGATTATAATAGTAATATTTAATTAATATTAAGATTAAAAATGATTAAGTTAAAATATTAAAATATTTTACTTAATAAAAATAAAAGTTATATATATATATATATATAATCAAGTCAAATATCAAATCAAACGAAATTTCTTTAAATCTTAATAAGATTAAATAATGAGTGAATGAATACGATATTCAAACTTATTTTAAACATATCAAAAACAATAATCTGACTTATATCCATTCCTAATCAAAATCGACCCTGTAAACCCGAGTCTCTCACCAACGTATGGATGTTAGATGTAGATTACCATACACGTATTACAGCACCGTTCCCAAAACATACGTGCAAATGCGATATTAATGTAGGTAGAGACGTAGAGTCAAACTATCTTTGAGAAACGGGCTCAATATCCATATTGAGTCCTTCAATGATCATCCTTAATTAATGAACCTGCTAAACATCATAATCTTCATTAAGAGGGGTGTATTAACGCGTTAAACACACAACCTTTGATGTTTCCATCCATGATGGATTAAATGATTATCGAAGTGGGTGTCGTTGCAGGTTTTAAGACAACCTAATATTCGTGCAGGTGAATAACTCTCTTCGCATGCATGCAAACATTCCCAGGCAGTGACTTGACACTGCCACAAGATGCATGCATGCACGCACTTGATTAAAACTTTTCACTCTATCTAATTCTATGAAAAAATTAAAATAAAAAATCAGTAAATGCAGCCGATGCTTCTTCCATTCTTTTTCGATTGCCACAAGACAAAATAATTTCATGCAGTCAATACTTCAAATTTCAAACAATGGTAGCTGCTGTTCCTACAGTTCATTTATAATTGGGAACTTTGAAACTAATGCCAGACCTAATTATTAAACAACTTACTAGCTTATGTTAATGAACTGTCTTCTCTCGTTAGTTACAAAATATATTATATTAAAATGATTTTCAAATCATTAATCTTTTAAAATTTTTAAAATATTTTTTTAAAATCTATTAAAGATGCATGTACACTATATACACGAAACTACACAAATTTTATTTTTTTATAAAAATAATGTTATCTTTTATCATTAAAACAACTCAATAAAATTTGACATGTAGCCGCATTTTGGGATTGTATATACACCTTGGTTTTTTTGCATTTATATATATAGTTGATTGAGTTTTGGCAGGGATAAGGATGGATCAATGCATACCAATTTGACTTTTGAAGTTTGTTCCTCACCCTTCAATTTTCATGCCAACTGTTGTCATTTGGTCTAACTATGCACCTAGTCTCTGTATCCTTATAAAAAAGACATAATATTAAAATTATCTTCTAATATTTGACTGAATAGGTACTTTAACCTCTATTTTTTAATACCCTAGCCCTATATTAGAATATTAGAGTATTCCAATACCCTAAACATTTCATTTCAATTCAAAATGACTCATAGTTAGAAATTGACTAACAATCAATGTTTGTCGATTGTTAGTCGATGATGTGACATATTATATGTTTAAAGTATCGATGTGATACTATCACATGTACATAAGTTATGACTTTGCATGTGTTACATGTCTACATTAATGACATGACATGTCAACAAAAATATTTTATTTTTATTTATTGAATTGACATTTATCTTCAAATTTAACAAATGAAAATGAGAAGATTTTTATAGAAAAATTATTTTTGTTTTTATAAGGATAAATGAATTATCCTTATATTTGAAAGCTTCAATCTCAGTCATTAAACTCAATTAATCCAACAAACATATAATTTTTTTTATTGTGTAGGTAGATTCTAACTCATAAAATAATCTTATATGTATGTGTGTATATATGTGTGTGTGTGAGAGAGAGAGAGATATAGAGGGAATTAGAAACATGGCATTGAGAATAGATGGTTTCTGCATTCAGCATGTCATGTATTGAGGCACCGAAACGAGCCTAATAACTTGCAGTACTGCAAGAACATGGAATGCTACCAAAGTCGAGGAGTAGTCGCTCTGAGCTCGAAGGTCTCGTCCAACTGCGATCTGATGTTGTCTCGGAATGTGGAAACACGGCCACGTCGGGTTTTCAGATGCCGCTGCAGTATCCTCAGTACACAAAAGCAGATTACGAGAAGATGGAGGAGTGGAGAGTGGACGAGCTTCGAAGAGAGTAGGGGCTAAATTTAGACGGCTGCCATAGTAGGGTGGATGAGAAGAGAGCTTATGCAATGGGTGCATTCTTATGGCCTCATCAATATTGATCCTTGGTGTTTAAGGGGTACGTTGTATATCTTAATTAGAATAATTTAGACACAGCATCTCTGCCCTCTCAACTAGAGTTGATGTGTAACGCTTATAGGATAGCTTACTTTTTTTTTATTTAAACGGAAAAATGCAATCAAATATCTATAATAGAATTATAGACGACTAATGTTATCTGGTTTAAGAAATATGAAGAGTGTGTAAAAGAACTCGAGTAGAAGAACCTTAGAAAAAAAAGCCCTCTTCTAATTTGTACGAGAGACTTATGTAATGAACTTTAGTTTTAGTGTTAAGCTTAGGACATAATGGTTAGTCGTAGGCCATTTAGTCATACAAGCATAGCTATTAAATAATAAGTTTGGTTCTCATAGATCACGTGAACTGTCATATGGTAGATTTGGCTATGACAGATCGTGTTAGTTTTTAGATGGTAAATAATTTGACTTTAGCCTATCACGTAGGTTGTCAAAATTTATATCAATGGACTAGTTATCATTCAAAGGATTTGAAGTTTCGGAAGATAGTAACAAGCGATATAAAATTCTAAAGACTTTGAATATTCAGAAGATTTCAATGCTTGATAGGCAAAAAAAAAATGATTGGAAGATATGACTTCGAGAAAAGATACAGAGGTGGTATAACAATATATGTATACAAATATAAAAGAATAACAAATCCAACATCATAATGCACTGCTTTAGTGGGCATGAATGTACAGGTAGTGGGGCATAATTTGATATAGAGCCTAGAAGCTTCAAAGGAAGAAAGCATTATCCATTTACCCTTAAATTTCACCATCCTTCTACTATACCTATAGTCTCCCAAGAGTTTGCAGATCTTTCCTTTCGCTCATTTTGTGTTAAAAAAAGACAATCATAAACAACAAAGCGACCACCATGGATCAATACGAGAAGCCTGCAGAGACGAAGCTCAAAGCTGTAGGAAAATATCAGTTTCTTAAAAGCACATTGCAGATTGTTATATCGGTTGCGTTTCTATCCATTTTCCTTTCCCATTCTTCAAGCTTTGCCTACTCTTTGTTCCCTCATTCATTCAATGTTTATTTCTCCACTTTCCTTTTCTCATTATTCACCCACACACTCGAGAGGAAGTACATGTTCCTCTTCTGCAATGGAATCCTAGCGTTCATAGCCAAAAGCTCCGTCTCCGGCTGGTCGACGATATTGGCTAACTCAACCGACACGAAAGCTTCAGTTATCGACGGTGGCGTTCCTCTTGCAGTTGAAGTACCTGGAGAAGAACCCGAAGATGCTTATGGAGATGAAGTTGAGAAAGGGTCACTAGGAGGAAGAGGAGGAGAAGAAGAAAATGAAGCTTCTGTGACTGTGGAAGATGATGTCAATGGCGGCGAGGAAGACGAAGAAAGAGAGAAACGATGATCGGTGAAGCAAGAACAGCAAGAGGAGGTGCCGATTAGTATGAGCACGGAGGAGTTGAACAGGAAGATTGAAGAATTCATAAGGAAAATGGAGGAGGAAATCAGGATTGAAGCTCAACAACAACAAATGATTTTATCTAATTAATATATTTCGAAGGAAGAATATCAGATGTAGCATCTTATGATCAGATCATGTCACATGTGTACGTAATAACCGCATAAACTTTATTCAGAATAAAATAAAATTAATTATGATAGCTTTTAAATTATTATTTTTACCTTTTATTAATATTATATATCGAAAGAAATCATTTGCTGAGTTGAGTGGAAAACGCTAGAATGGACTAGACGGGAGATCTTTACCTGCTAGAAAGTAAGTTTTTCTTAGTAGATATGTACTAAATTGACCAATTATTCGGTCATTATTAGCCCATTAGAGAACTTATAGTGATAAGTCACTAAAAGATTTAGTTTAATTTGAGGTTATTATTACTCATTCATCCTATAATTTGTATCTCATATTAATTATATATGTAATTTTAGGAGATATATTTGATCAAAGTAATATATGTTCGAAAAATTTTCAATCATTTAATAATAAACGTTGAAATACCTCATGAACATCCGATAAAATTAGAACGATACAGATTAGATTAACATGAAACATGTGCAAGGATGACAGACAAATCGAGACATGGTCCAAATTTTATTTATCCAAAAAAATGAACACTCTAACATCTCATTGTGTTTGGATTTGTGACCTCTAAGAATAATAATTATCTCTTTAACCACTAAAATTACTTAATTTATGCCTCAACAAGATATTAAGCAGAAGAAAATTACCACCAAATGAAGATGGCACGATGTTCCACGTGGCAAATTTTGTTGCTTCCGAAACTAAAATTTTATTAATTATTATTATTAAACTTTTAAAAATCATAAAATATCATTAATTTTATTAAATTATTATAAAATGATCATCGTAATGTTATAATAAATGTAATAATTCAATAAATTTAATAATAATTTTGTAACATATCAATAAAATTTAATGTTCATTTTATAAGATAAACTTAATGATTATTTTATAATTGAAAGTTTAACAATTAAAACGACTATTTTAGCATAGTTCAATTGACCTCGGGTATACTTCACCCATTAAGTGTATCGAAAGATATAAAAAGTACTAGCTAGCTACTCTATCCATGCCATGAACACCAAAATACAACTGGTAGCAGGAAGTGTTCAGTTTTGAAGGACAAAACAGAATCTATATCATAAACACTATCCATGTCTATCTATTTGTGTTTTGTCCTCTAATACTTTGTACAGTTTCAGAAAAAGACACTCCTCCCATGGGGATTCCCACAATCATGTGGCTACAAATCTATGCACCCTTCCATTTTCATTTCTTCGTCATTTGTCAAATATAGAGGACGACGATCTATGTACTCGTCCGAGGGCCCAAGGGACCCTCGGCCTGTACCTGCAAAGGCAGAGAAGTTATGGAGGAAAGGGATTATCTAGAAGGATCCCGCTGTGGTAGATGTTGTTGAGAAGCATTGCCATTGTTGCATCTGTCCTGCAAGTGGAGACAAATGGAACAATATGCATCCTAATGATTATCAATCATTCTGGTGTTGTTTATGTTATTAATTTAATAAAAGAATATATAAGATAATTAAATATTAAATAAAAATGATATATTTCCATAATAAAAATTTAAAAAATAATGAACATACCTGAATTAACTTCAACCATTAACCTGTTTTTTCTCCTGTTAGTGTTCTAAGCGTAGACAGCTCCTATCTCTGAGGGTCTCTTTTATAATATTTCCCATTTTGTAGCTCTTAACATCATCTTTTTCCTCTTCAAATCAATCTTTACACTTCCAATCCTTATATTTCTTTCCTTTAATGCCATTCAATCCCCAAGTTTAAGCTTCTTTAAATTTGTATGACATATTGCTCAATGTTTATGAATCCATAATTGTGTTGAGAATTTATATTCTAAAACCATGGCAGATGATGATGCTAGGCAGTCTTTGCTTTCATCCTTGAATGATTCACTAAAATCTCAACGAGACAAAGGCCCTTCATAGAAGAAGGTACCATTTCCGTTCGAAAGGTCCATCGGAGAAAAACTCCAACGAGAAAGAGAAGGAGCATCCATTTATAAACCTTGAACCAGTACGCGTGGCACGGGAGTTTAGGTTAAAGTACGTGCTAATGTTTTTGGGCGCTTATCTAGGTATAGGCACCTTTTGGTTTTAACTCATCGAGAATCAGATCGACGGCAAGAAAACGAATGGGATCGTCGATGCTGTTTACTTTTGTGTCGTGACGATGACCACTGTTGGGTACGGTGACCTAGTGCCCCATAGCTCATTGGCGAAGATACTCGTGTGCATTTATGCCTTCGTTGGTGCGGCTCTCGTCGGTTTAATCCTAAGTAATGCAGCGGATTACATTGCGGAAAAGCAGGGGATTTTGTTGGTAAAAGCCCTGCATATGAATGACAAGTTCAATACGGCTGAGGTACTTATGGATATCGACACCAACAAGGTCAAGTATAAGTTTCTGACGATCGTGGCACTACTCCTGGTGCTTATAATCGCCGGAATCGGGTTCTTGTTTCTCGTCGAAGGGATGGAATTCCTCGATGCGGTTTATTGTGTGTGCGCGACAATCACGACACTTGGATACGGGGATAAGAGCTTTTCGTCGCAAGAGGGACGTGTGTTTGCCATTTTGTGGATACTTACCGGTACGGTTTGCTTAGCTCAGTTCTTCCTCTACCTAGCCGAGCTGTACACCGAGAGAAGGCAGAGAGCACTGGTTAAGTGGGTTCTTAATAGAAATCTAACTGCTGGTGACCTTGAGGCAGCAGATTTGGATCATGATGAGATGGTTAGGTAAGCTAGCTAGGATCAACTTGCATAATGTATATTGCACATACATACATACATGCATGCATGCATGATGCTTATTTGTTTGTCAATTCTCTCTATGACAGTGCAGCAGAATTCATCTTATATAAGCTCAAGGAAATGAGAAAGATATGCCAGGAAGACATTGTAATGTTGATGGAGAAGTTCAAAGCTCTTGATGTTGATCACGCGGGAACTTTGACTTTGTCCTAACATGTAACAGGACCAAAAAAGCAACTAAAAATTCAGAAATATTTTTGAGGATCGGTATATATATATATATATATATTAACAACACAAAATATTTATATATAGGTGAATGCTATCAACAAAATGAATAATTAACATAAAAGAATTAGATTTCAGAATGTACACAAATTTTAATAATAACTGACCTTTGCTTGATTGTATTTACAAATTTATTGTACTTACTGACGAAGTTCCTTTTTACAGTTCCTTATGATTTTTGTAGGTTGAATTATGTTATTTAGTTTATGGATTAAAATATATAGGTTATGCATATAGTTCTTGTACTCTCTTTAGTTAATTTTAATCTCTGCATATTTTGAATTTTAAAATATTCATGTTATTTCAAACATTTAAATGATATATAGATAATGTAACAAAATTATATGATTTAAAATGGTGAAATTAAAAAACATTAACTAAAGTTATAATTTTAGGTTGATAAAATTTGATGTAATAGATTTTATGATTAATGTGTTAAGATTGAAATTTCCAAATTTAAAAGTACAAGGATTTAAAATAATCAAATTAAAATATAGTGACTAATTTTAGAACTTAATATAGGGACTAATACAAATTTTGACCTTTCCCTTTTCCAATTTACCAACTCTATCATTGTCGCTACAGTATAATTATGATTAGGATGGTCATGGGTTGGTTAAACTTTTTGTTGATCTGAATTCAATTTGATTATAATACTAATTTTTATGTCACCGATTTGATTCGGGTGTAGGAAGACTTAACTCAACTCGATTTTTGGGTAAAAATTAACATAGGATCTAACCCGACACAAATATATAGTTCTTATTTTTATTCGACAAAATAGGAACCTAATTGAAAAAATATATATAGATAAATGTATTATTATAATTATCCCTAAATATATAATAAATAACTATACTATTACCTCCGGTCATATTGAAGATTTTTCATTCTAAATCTAAACTTGACTCAATTTGATCTTATCATTCAAAAGTCTGACTCGATCTGAGCCCAAATTTTATCAAAAAATTGATCCTATATAGTCAGGTTGAAACCTATCGGATTTAATTGCAAATTAGAGGTAAGTATAAGTAATTTACTTAAGTGTTGATTAAAAAATAACATCTAAAGCAAACGATAAAAAAGCTGATCTCTTAAATAAAATTATTACTAACGACTCACTCTTATATGATCGAGTTAACAATAGGTTCGATGCCCCTTGCTTTTACATTTTGTAAGGGAAAGTAGAAGAAGAATTACAGCTTTTGTGCAAATCAATTCAAACGAGGAACCAGGCCGGCCCATGTCGTTGTTGTTCACTCAAATCTCCGAGGTTCCGCATCTGTATGCTCCGGCCGGGCAGCCGCAACATAGTCCAGTAGTCCTTCACCGGCCTTTTCACCGTGATCTTCTGTCGCTAACTGCGAAACACCACCAAAAGCCACAATCAGCACCAACAACACGGTCGTAGACGCAAAAAGAGGCCAAAAGTAGGCCAGAACGGTGAGCAGACTCGGGGCTGCATACGCTAGAACAGCGACGATCGATGAGGCGAGGATCGTTACGATGAAATGATATCTGTATTGGTTCAGCTTTTGTTGGATGTCCATTGGCTTCATTGCTATAAACAATAAGAAATCAAACAAGGGGAATTGTATTTGAGCATATGATGTATGTGGAATATATTAAGATTGCAGAGGGTGATGGCATTGAGACTTGGTGACTTGTTTTTTCTTGCAGAGATTCTTCTTTCTTTCTCTTTTTTTCCTAATATCTAATTTGGTTTTTAATCCTTAACTACGATAAAATTTTGGATTCAATCATTCTATTTTAATTTAACATAATTTGATCATCTATTTTTATAATATGTTATCAGTATGTCCAAATCGATAGCATCGTTGGTTGATATTGTTAAAATGATGATTGTTGTTTTTTAATCGTTATCCAATTACACAAACTGACAATTAACCATTCATATTCAATAAATAATAAATTTACATATGCTTAGAGTTGTCATATGTTAACATCTAAGATGATATGTATATGTACGAGTTGATTGATTAAAGGTATTTTAGAAAAAGAATATCTGTTATTATTTAATGATAACAATTAAAAATATTAATAATTCGAATTTATTTGGAAACGAAGTTAAAGAACAAGTAGAAGCCATGTCTCTCTTAGTTAAATGAAAATTTTGTATTTTTAACTCCTCTCGAAAGTTAATAATTCAACTTTAATCCTTTTAGCACTTGGTACAGTAGAAAATTTTATTTTTGGCCCCTTCCAAAAATTAATAATTCACTTTAAGTCATCTTAAAACAAATCTATTAATATTAGCCCCCAAAATTTTATAAATTTATCTTAGTCCCCTTGACATAAAGGTCTTGGCTTTGCCCTTGGACCAAGTAATAACATTATAAAAGTGCACACCAAACTGTGCTAAATTAAATGTATGAAGTCTCAAATTTTAATATAGTAAAAGGACAAAAATCATATTTAGACCAAATTAAACCCAATATCAACAAGTTTAAGATTAATAAAAGTAGGTCAATTATTCCATTCTTCTTTTTAAAGAATGAGGGCCGAGTGGTCCTATTGGAGGAAAACGTATGGTGTGTTTTGGAATTTATGCTCTTTCCACTTAGAGGATAGGGCTTGATCCAGTGGCCGCTGCTCTTTCATTGAAAGTAAGATTAAGATTAGATTCATATTTCAGAAAGAAAATTCATAAATCAAAAGATATTACATATTAAAATACATTCAAACTCATATTTTTTGTATATGTTATAAAAATAATAATATCAATTAAATTAAAATTCGATTCGAGATTTTTTTAGAAAGGGTTAGATGCTATGAAAGAAAGAAAAGTAGAGGGGCGTGGGTTGATTCCATTTCTACCTGGACACCACTGGTTTTGGTATATTCATTTTCTTTGGCTGATGGTTAAAGACAATGAAGGATGACTTTGTAGGAGGACAACTACTTACACTTGCTATGCTTCTCAAACTCTTGAAACTGGAGGCTTGTTAACCAACTCCCCTTAATTAACCTTCTCCCTTTCTATGCAAACTAGGGATGATAATTTGATGGGTTTTTATTTGAATTGATTTGATAAGATTGGTTTTTTTTTTAAAAAATGAAATCAAGTTCGGATTGAGTTTTGTAAAGGATTAGGTCGGGTCGAGTTAGGTCAAGTTTAAAGTGATTTTTTTTACTCAAACTGACTTGAAATAATAGTATATTTTATTTCTATATATTTAGGGATAATTGTTATAATATATCCTATGTATTTTTTAATTAAGCCCTAATTTGTCAAATTAAAATAAGAAAAAAAGTATATTCGTGTCAATTTGGATTGAATGTGAGTTTTTACACTATAATATATGTCAAATTTCAGGTGGATTAAATGATCAAAGACAATGTTGTTATCTCTTGAAGTTCTGAGTTAAAATAGTTGCGTCTGCAAGGTGTGTATATTCTCAATGACTAAGAAATTTTTTGAACAAATATTATCTTATAATCACCTCAGACTGTTTAAGAAAAAAAATATTTTATCTCATGTATAAAAAACATTTTTAATTAATTATCGGTCAATTTAATTAGATGAATTCATTCTCGTAATAATCCTATATGATAATCCAAATTAGCAGACCCAATAAAATCAGATGGACTACTAACCTTGAAGTTTAAATGTAGAACCAATAAAATTAGAATAACTTATGGGTGGATGGACTTAGGATGCGTAGGGGTCGGATTTTCGGTCAATTCAATTAAACTCGAAAATTTTATACCTTCACTTAAAATTTGATCCAACTTTTGAGATAAAATCTGACTCTAATTTGATCCGACCTAAAATAATATAAAACTATTAATTTTACTCAATAAAATAGAGACTTAATTGAAAAAAATATAAAGAGATATATTATTATAATTATCCCTAATATAAGGTATAATTATATTATTTTCGGGTCGGATTGGATAATTTTCACCTAAATCCGAATTCCACCTGACCTGAACTTATCCTCTAAAAAAACCTGATCCGACCCAAACTCGATTATTTAAAAAAATGCCCCAATTAAATCGGATTGAGTCGAAACATGTCGAATTTGAATCCCTGCTAATCCCTAGATGGTACAATTAGATATCGACATAAATCTAGTTGGGTTTGGTTTTTGGTTAATCCGACGAGATAAAAATCATATTTTTAATTAAAATTGGATTTTGATCCTAATTTAGAGTGATCTCACGAGACTCGAAATTTGACTCGTCTTTTGAGATAAAATTTGTATTTTATCCAACCCGACTCGGTAGAAATATATATATATATATAAATTTTATTAGATAAAATGTAGATCTAATTGAAAAAAATAGATATATTATTGTAATTATTGTTAAATATATAAAGTTTGGGTTAGGATCCATTTACACCTAGCGTAAAACTTTTAGTTTTATATCTTTTTAGGATTGTTGGATAAGAGGAAATCGAAGGATGAAATTAATTCCTTATTTTTTTCCGTAGTGAATATCTTCTCATTTCTCTTACTCTTACTCTTAATTTTTGATTTTCTCCATCCAAATATCTTAAAAAGACGTAGAACTATTTAGTTTTACACTATGTAATTAGATCCTAACCCATAAACTATTACTATATTATTTTTCAGGTCGAATATTTTTCACCTGATAAATTTAAGTCAAGTCGGAATCCATCAGGTTTAAATTGTGCGCTCATCTCTAGACAATATACAAGGAGCAGTCAAACAATAATTTACCAAACTAAAACCTATTCAAAATAGTAACAGAAAAGAGGGTTGGGAAGCTTAGGTTAATGGCAATGAACATCACTTTCAGAACAATTCAATTAAGGCATAATTAACATAAAAAAACCCTTAACCTTAAGCAAGGTTTGTGTGGCTTATTGGGTGTTGGTGGACTCTTCCCTTTGTCGTCTCTCTAATCACCACCACCAAGTCTTATCTTTACCGTCTCCAACTGGCTTATCCGCATCAACCCTTACAACCCTTTTATTTATTTATTGTTTCTTCAAATAGTAGAGTTAAATACTCCAAATGTCCTTGAATTATTACCTACGTTTCAAATTAGTGTTCGATTTTTAAAAATGTTTTAATTGTATCCTCAATCAATCAACTACTAGCTCAGTTTAAAATCTGTAGATCTAACATTAGGGGCATTTTTTGTTAACATCCTTACTAACAACAAAAGGATTTAATTTATATGATATTGATACTTTTGATGTTAGAACCTGTTGAAATTTGAAGACCAAATTAGAATTTGGATTATATACTAGTGACTCTGGTGGAATTGACCCTAAATAATAATGACATATGCACTTCCTTTTTTTTATCACTTTCAGATAAGGGTCATCAACACCTCATTAACTTGGTTCATTCAAACTGTGTGTTTGAGTGCCTTCCCACTAAGCTATGGAACCATACAAGAACAAGCCCTCGATTTCTGCAAAATTTAGCGCTTAAGGAATCCATTTTTTCCCCAAAGAAAGAGCTTTCCATCAACGTAGGACGGACCATGACAACCAAATCATAAATCTCAACCACTCTCTCATTGAATATCCATCGGTTTCGCACCCCGGGATTAGGGTTCTTAATACGCAAATAATATATAATTCCATACACTATCAATGAATCATATGATATGTTAAATTTCTTTTAGATTTATCTGTCATACACTAAGTTTGCAGCAAATGACACCAGCTAATACACTTTTGCTACATCGCATGTATACATACACGCACACATACATATACATATGATTCGGTTTAAGTGATAATTAATATTACATTTCATAAGAAAATAGATAAATAAAAGTAAAAGCAGTTATATTTATGATAATGAATGATTTAGAGAAAGGAAATTAGAAGTTGACATCATTGTCATGACAATGATGATGAGGAAGAATGAAAGCGATGGTTACTGTGTAAAACAATGAAATAATTAACCGGCTAGGCCGGCTTAGTCGCTTTCGGATCTTTGCTTAAGATTAAGGTAAGCTTTCCTCTCTTTGCGGTCAATTCCTTCAAGTAATGGACTCTCTCACTTTCTCTAACTAAAATACTAAATCCATTTGTGTGTGTATATATATATATATCTATATGTTATTCCTTAACAACCCCAAGTCTTGTGTTGTTATTGTTGCTGCTACTGCTGGTATCGTAAACACGATATCGAAAAAATGGTGTGTCATGAGGAATCATATGGAGGCCATGACCCTCACCCAAACCCGGTCGTGTTAGAGCTCACCCGGTTGCAGAACCAACTCAAAGGTTGTCTAATGATTTGTTTCTGAAACTGAACATGACATGTTATATGTTACTGACCATTGTGAATGTTGTTCCAGAAAAGGAAAGGGAGTTAGGTTCTGCACAGGATGAAATCAAAGCTCTGAAAGCAACTGAAGCATTGAATGATAAGGCCATACAAGAGGTAATCAAAATTTTCAATGTTATTATATTGGATTGATGTGCTTAATTAATGTTATTATATTGGATTAATGTACTTAATATTCAGCTCCAGAGTGAAGTTCAAAAGTTGGATGAGAAACATAAGGTCACTGAGAATGTCCTTGAATATAAGGTCAGTGCCTTTAGATTACTTGAGGTTGATATCTGTAATTCTGTTACATGTTTACTAAGGGTGCTGTGTTAATCGTATTCGATC